CAGGAGACCAACTTTAGAATGTCCTATCCACCTAGGGGCTGCCAGGAACCAAATGTGAACTTCATGGGACACATCTGAGCAAATGTGTTCCTTATTAGTCACCAGGATTTATTTTTCTAAAAGAAAATTTAGGTAGGGGTGTGTGTGTGTGTGTGTGTGTAAGATAGATAGTTAGAGAGAGAGAGAGAGAGAGAGAGAGAGAGAGAGAGAGAGAGAGAGAGAGAGACTGTGCAAATGTGTATGTACCACATGCATACTTGGTGTCCACAGAGGTCAGAAGATGGCATAGGATCCCCTGGAACTGGAGTTAGAGGTAGTTATGAGCCACCATGTGGGTGCTAGAAACCAAATACAGGTCCTCTGCAAGAGCAACGAGTACCCTTAGCACAGAGTTTTATTTTTAAATTTGACTTTAAACAATGTGAAATATACCACAAAATTTTAAAGTGTATATACCATACGAAGATAGTAATTTTTAGACACCCATGTTACCACAACTGAGGTCAAAGTAGAACATCACTGTCCCACAGGCCCCCTTCCTAATCAAAGTTCCTCCTACAGCTAAAGAAATATACTGATTTATACAGTGACCATGGCCTTGCTCCCCTCCTAAGCATGGAGCCTTCAACACTTCAGTGTAGCTTTTGTAGTTGTGTGTGTAGATGTTGTATTACTAGTTAGTGTTTAAAATGCAATTAGTCTTATTTGTGGAGAGATAATGTATTCTCTCACACATATATCTTATAAATGAGTGTGTTTGTTCTCTCACTTTAGAATTTCTCTAAGCATTTGTACAGAAATGTTCCAAGAGTAGATAGGAAAACCCTTTTTGATGGTCAAGTGTCACTCCTGGGAAGCACAGTTAATGTAGTGGGTATTCGCAGCGACACCTGAGATGTGGAGGCTTGGGAGGTGTGGAGTCGCCCTCTCCTCCCCAACTCATTCAGCTTTGGCTGCTTTGTTGTCACTGTGCATATGCACATCTCTTACACCAGGACGACACCACCTAGAAAAACTCTCTTGTACATCTTCTTACACCAGGACGACACCACCTAGAAAACTATTCTTAATGTACAGTTATTGGAACCAGTGGGCTGGGACTAGACTAACAAGTGTATTCTAATTTGGTCTAAATAAAGATAACTATGTAATAAGTGACAGTATTCAGGGGACTTACTTTTGAATAAATGCATCAGCCTTAAATGAAGGCTAGAATTCAATATCTATGTGACTCTGGATTCAAAACCTTTTGAATCTTCTGTCGTGGGGCCAGCAAGATGGCCTAGTAGGTAAAGGTGCCTGCCACCAAGCCTGATGACCCCAGTTCAGTGTGTGTCCTCTAACCTCAATACTCATACTGTGGCATGTGCAAACACACACACAGACACACAATAAATGAATGAATGAATGGGATGTAATAAAAGAAAATCCTTTAGAATTTAAAGAAAACCTTTAAAATGAGTAAGAACAGACTACCCTCTGAGCTGTTGTGAAGACTGAACAAGGAGACGATAATGTATTAATGCACTGCTCAGCCCAAATCATATCTGGTGTGATCTGAGTTTCGTGCCATTGTAATGTGCATTCAACTTCCTTTTATCTGGCTCAGTTGTCTCTTTCTCAGTCTGAAGATTCACTTAGGGTTTTCACACAAACCATGTCTTATGATCATTATAATGACCCTGGGAGAGTGATATCATGATTTCATCTCTAACAAGGGAACAACGCATACTCCCATGTAGAAAAACACACCGCAGGCAGCTTACTGGACTCTGCACAGGCTTTTCTTGCTCTAAATCTTGCTCTTGACACACCTACCTTACTGCCACTTGTAAGCTGTAAGTCATAATAACAAGACAGTGTTCCTTTCCAGGGTTTGAAGTGTGGAATGAGTACAGAAAAACTATGCAATTAACATGAAGTCCGTCTGCTTGGTGTAGAGGCTCTGCTATGACTGTGTCTCTTTCCCATGTTGTTCCTTGTTCCTTGTTCCTGGTTCCTCTGCCCCTCCGAGACACAAAGTCCAGCCTAAGAGCAAACACACATTGTCTCATCCTTCATGTCATTCAGCTCTGCTCAGATGTCATCTCCTGACCAGCGGATTGCCTCAGTGTCTCTATCCATTTCTTTGCTCTCTTTATTTCCCTAGAGCAAGCAGAGATTTCAGGGGGACAGAATAGGAGGAGCCGCAGTATGAGAGTCAGAAAGCCTGGAGTGCAGTCAGGAGAGGAACTGTAAATAGCCAGTGAGAGGGAGGCAGAGTCAAGCCAAGGCTGGGATGGGCCCTAGAGACAACCACAGGAATCTCTCAGTGGTGGGCTGAGAGGACAGAAGCTGAACGCAGTGAAGCAGTTCTGCTCATTGGGACCTTCTTACGTTTTCACCAACAAAAGTCAACATTCTCCAAAGCATCAACCAACCAACAGCCAGAAAATTAATGACTGAGGTGCATCCTGGGGCTTCCTTAGCTGGCTAAGAGGCCAGAACAAACATCATCACTGCCTCTAGTTTTACAAATAGCCTTGGCAACCCTGTGCTTGTGTTCCAACCTGTAACTTGTAACTCTTCACCTTTACTCAAGGCCTGCCCTTTTCAGGAGTAGCCGCTTCAGTTCACCTGTAATGCCTTTCAACACCTCAGATGCTCCTCACCCTGAGACTGAGCAGCGCCTCTGCTTCTCCACCATCATCCCTTCCCACAGCACTGACTCTGACAGCCTAGCTGCCTGACTGGGAAGAGACTATTAGGCCTCACCCCAGCATCCCTAGTGCTCAGCTGGTATAGGTACTAGTCAGTCCTCAAAAGGCATGTATGCTTCCCAAAGTCAGCACTCCATGTCAACATGTGAACACCCCCCCAGCACCCACCCTGAACGCCACCTTTCCACACTTGGTATTAGCCTATCTTTTCTAGATGCTTTCTCTTGTAGTTGGGGATGCACTTACCAGTAAAGCTTTAAATTATGTGAGCACTGAGGTGCTTTAAATGAGCGCTTCTGGATAGTCTTTACCTTGATGGCTGTCTGTCCAAGCCCATCAGAATTCCTGATCCTGCTTGGTCAGTGTACAGGCTGTGGCCAATCAACTGAGGAATTTCAAAGCCTGCATTGTCAGCTCAGGGTTCTCTGTGCAAATGTCAGCTTACTGCAGACAGCCCCACCTATTTTTTTTTTAATAGCATTGTATACTATCGGGATTCCCATTGATTTCCACCTCTCCCTTTTGCTCTTAAAGGAAAATTCTCAGTGTCACGCTTCAGACGTGGAAGGCATTTGTAAAACTTACAAAGGAAGAAAGGGTGAAAGAGGAACGGCGAGAGCAACTCCGCCGGAAGGTCGCCGACATCCTTCCAGACTTCCAGATGCTGACGTCATTGTCACAGCTGCAGGCCACATACCAGTAACTACATGCTTGTCCTCAGGGATGTCTTTGGGGCCAGGATCTATGCAGGTTCTCTCTCCCACATACCTACCTGAACCTGGCTTACTTTCTAGAAGCATCACTGACAGTGGAATTATCCTGGGAATTTGTTCTTCCTTCTTGATCTCTCCTGGGTTGCTAGGCATCTGTTGTAATGTCTATCACAATGGGTCATCCATAGGAGCAGTCCAGAGCACCAGTGTTCAGTGTGTTTTATATATTTTTAGCATAATAAACTTCAAAAAGGACGTGTGTGCCTGCCTGGACTTGTGAAGGAAGATGTGTCCTTATCACTCACTGTGAAATGCTGGTAAGTGTGACACTGGATAAAAACAGAAAGCAGTTGAGTACCTAGAAGAGAAGGGATGGGAGCCTGTGTTCTGCGACCACAGCATGAGTGACAGGTGTCTGACAGGGCCCATCCACCCAATGATAAGCACAATTAGAAGGTACTCTATACAGTTGCAGCAGAGTGCAGCAACTCCTCCTGATTTCAGACCACCTTGATGAGCACGGAGGAAACTCCAAACACTAATAACAGCCCCAGCAAGGACCATCCAGTCCCTCATCAAAATGCCTAGCCATCCTCCCAACTGCAGCTTCTAAGTAATCCATCTGCTTTGTCTGCTTGGCCTGGCAACTTCCACTGAATTAAAAAATGTTCTAATATTTGGGATTCTATAAAGATTGATCAAATGTTCCCTTCTGTGAACTTTTACACAGAATCATCTGCTAGGAATTTTTTTCATTATAAAACATATCTTTATTGTGACAAATCCAAATAGTCTACAAATGCACATAGTAAAATGAGAACGATCATGGTACCCAGAACATCTGAATTGGTAAACTCTCTGAGTGAATGTGTTTGATCCAGGATAATTCTTAAGCTACCTGACCACACTCCGTGCAATGACCCTGGTTCTTTTCTCATGCAAGATGTGGAGTGGTGGGCCAAGAGACAACAGAACACCAGAATGGAACTGCAGCCCAGACACACCATTTTCTTTATCATCATCATACGGGTGTCATCTAAAAACACAAGTGTTTTGAAGAGCAGTGGCCACAAGAAAAATGGGACTAAAATCATATTTAATTCTATCTAAGCCACTGTTTATACTTAGTTATAGTATACTTAAATATGGCCATTACCAACTAAAAACAAATCAAAATCATACACAAATATTAATGACAAGCCTGCAGAAAAGGGTGAATTTCTTCAATAAGCATGTTCTAAATAAGTCATATAAAGATTAAGTTTTCTATCTTAAACTTGATCTTTGCTTCACCCCGAGCACCAACCAGAAATTGCTTCTTTGGGACATGTATTTGGATGTATTTGGATGGAGCCACGGTGCCACCTTATAGACCCGATGCATGATCAGACTCTTGATGGGTCATGGGCAAGATGTGGTCTGAAACATGACTACTAACTAGTGCCTGAATAAACAGTGTCTGATCTACAAAACCTGGGAGGAAAAGAGGAAGATGAAGTTTAAGGTCAGCACATGGCCACGATCAGGAGGCCGCACAGCTTAGGGTTTTGTTAAGGTGAAACACTTTTAGGACCAAGAATCACAACTGTTTCTGTAAAGAAAGCACTTTATTTTCCTTTTAGATAACTTGTCACAGGACATTACTTTGCACAAATGGCAGTAGTTGGTAAAATCTCCACTTAAAAGGCCTTGCATCTGAGTCTGAGGTCATAGCATGTGGATACAGGTACAAAAAGTGCAAAATACCCAGCCCTCATCGAGCTTGGCTTGAGGAATCCCACTTCCTGTTGTTGGGCCATCCATATTAAATACTGAATATATAAATTCATTCCTGGGTTTCACTTAGTCTAACATCAGACTCCCAAACTAGATCAAATGGTATGGCCCCAAAAACCTAGCATCATCAAATCACCCAGACCCTGGCACCACGACTAGAGCTTGCTGCTCTTACATGGCATCTGTCAATGGCTTTGCCTGAAAACAAAAATATCAAAATTTTACTTGTATCATTAGTACAGACTATCTCTGGTTTTAAAGCTTTGCCTTTTAAATACTAATTTCTAAAGGTGAAAAGTGCCCCAGGAAGGCTCCAGTAATGTAAAATCACAAGCCCAACATGGAGCAAACAGCATGCTGTGCTCAACGTTGAGCCCGCAGCCCTAAAGTGAACTGCTTAGAGCCAGCTCAAGTGTAGGTGACTGACCACCAGCATCCGGACTCAGTTCAGCTGCTTCTTCAGAACAGGTACATGAATCTCAGCAGCCAACAACATTGCTTCATTTGCTCTTAGATTCAGTTAACATGGTTTTCATTCTTGCCCCCACAACCTCTGCATGTTTAATAGGAAACGGTTCACCTGCCAAACTGCTGCCAAGCAAACCAGGTTCCAAGCAGGTGCCTCCTTTGTGTAATTCACATCTACTACTTGTTTGGAAAAAAGTCTCCTTTTTGAAAGGCAGGGTACCAAAATATGGCTAACAGGAAGGGAAATCATAGAAACCTACTTAGCTAGTTTAAAGAGATGAGTGAGTGCACAGAGCATTACTTCTTCAACTTCAGGGGTAAAGCTGTTGTGTCTACAAGCTTTTGCTTCTGTCTACTGAGCTTTATATAAAAAGCTGATGTCCTACCAAAGGAAGTAAGTCTGTTGGGCAGCTATCAGTATCACAGAAGCTCTTACTGGCATTGTGTTTCCTGACAGTCAAAGGTTCTAGAATACAAAGTTTTCTCTTGCTAAAAATATTAGACTATTGCATAAGAGAAAGTTTACAGCAATCTTCCTTCTAGGCAGACAGTACAGTAGACGACAATTCATGCATTCACCAAAGGAAAGCAGAGCAGAGGTTTGCAATATCCTGGACAACTGTGGCTGAAGAAACAGACAGCACTGTCTCCAAAACACATTGAAGGCTTTATTTTAGCAGCGTTCAGAGTAGCCTGCCAATGAGGTGGTGTCCTGCCAGTAAGGCAGTGAAGATGACCACACAGCATCTTGCAAGTTCCTAAGACACATTTCTACTAGTGAAGGAATTTCTCCCTTCCTTCAGTCTTGATCCTTTGTGCTTTTCCCTTGACTCTTTCAGGAAGGCACTGTCCTTTGCTGGGAATGTACACAACGGTGCAGAAGTAACGTAAGGAATCAGGACAGAATGGGTCTTTATGATATAGGCCAAGAGAAACAACCTGCTTATCTGAAGTCACAGTTCTGGGGAGCACTTGCTCCCATAGTCAAGGGCCTGGTGGCTTATTCACATTGGATATTTGGGACAGCCCTTTCACAAAGACCTGGTTCATTTTTGTTGGTGGTTGGTTGGTTTTCTGGTTTTTTGTAAGACAAGCCTTCTCTATGTAGCTCTAGCTGTCCTAGGCACTCTGAAGCCCAGGCTGGCCTTGAATTCAGAGATCCACCTGCCTCTGCCTCCCCAGTGCTGGGATTAAAGGCATGGGCCAACACCACCACTGGCAAGGCCTTGACCTTTCAAAGACTCCAGTTAAATCTTTTACCACCTGGAGAATATCAAGGCCTACAACAAATCCCACAAACAACTGGAGATCTTAAGAAAAGCCCAAAAGTTTAGGAATACTTGCCAAAGATATCCTGGGTCCTAGCGGAGGCTGCTTGTGGACGTCCCCTGGTTTACTATCTCCTGGAAACATGCCCTTCAAAGACGAATGCGTATTTCCCATTTCCCCTTTATGAAGCAAGAAGGCCAAGGCAAATTTAAGGTCTCACAAATTATCTTTGATCTTTGGGATCCCAGAACAGTACAAGTGTAAAAACCAAACCCATCAAGAGTGAGTTTTCCCACCTTTAGGGCAGGCCAGAAAAACAGCCCATTCTGCAGAACTGCACAATCTTTCCTAAGCCACAGTTCGGAGACACAAGGGAACAATTCAGCATTGGGAAGAGCTAGAAAGCAGTAATGAGTGCATTACTGGAAAGCCACGTACCCTGTTCTCTCCTAGACACGCTTTTAGTGGGGAGGGTGAAGGAGAAGGCTGAAAGATCCACAAAACAAGGATCTTCTTACAAGTTTGCCTCTCCCCTGCAAGTCAGCAATCGGTTCTCCAAACTTAAGCCTCAGGGCTAGAGATATGAGTCAGCAGTTAAGAGCACATGCTGCTCACACACACACACAATCTAAAAAGAAGAAACTTAAGCTTCTTCATTCCAGTGAGCCAGAGCGACAAGGAGTCCCTCCATCCACTTGAGGGGAACTGAATCTTGAATGGCAAACTCTGAGAATGGCAGTGGTCATTCCTAATTGTCTCAGTGTGTCACTCATCATCACATCACAGATGAGCTGCTGATGCTGATGAGGGAGACTACAAGTACTGCTACGCAGTTTCTATAAACCTTAGAAGCAGCTAGATGTTCAGAGTTGGCTACATACCTGGCATTCAAGAGACATGAAAACTACCAATTTCTGCCCACATATACTGTCTGACATTACTACCATCTTCCTTACCTCAAACCCACACAGAAATTAGTTGTATCCAGGCTACCTTTCATTCTAAATGAATGTTTGACTCTAGGCCAGGGCCAGGCATGGCTGTATAAACTGCAAACACCCCCAGGCTCTCCCTGGCTAACCCCAGTAGAATATGGAGTCTAGTGTTTGTTAAATAATACATCTCTGGGGAAAGCAATGACAAACCTGCATGAAAATGTGTCACCTATCTTCAAGAGAGTCCTGGCTAGTGGCAAGTCTGAGGGTGGCCCTCGGTGCAAAGGGCAGGCAGGACTAACTGCAAAGGCAGTGGTATTTCTTCTCAACGCTTACAAGCAGGCACAAGGGCGGGGTGGGGAAAACGCAACACTGTTTCCCCTCTATGAAGTAAGAAGGCCAAGGCAAATTTAAGGTCTCACAAATTATCTTTGATCTTTGGGATCCCAGAACAGTACAAGTGTAAAAACCAAACCATCAAGATGGAGTTTTCCTCCTGTGAATCTCCCACCTCTAGGGCAGGCCAGAAAGACAGCCCATTCTGCAGAACTGCACAATCTTTCCTAAGCCACAGTTCGGAGACACAAGGGAACAATTCAGCATTGGGAAGAGCTAGAAAGCAGTAATGAGTACATTACTGGAAAGCCACGTACCCTGTTCTCTCCTAGACACGCTTTTAGTGGGGAGGGTGAAGGGGAAGCAAAGTGGATGTGGGGAGGTGTCAATCACCCAGAGAGAGTTCATGCCAGACGCATGTTCCCATTTTGTGCTATAAGCCTACAACACTAGAAATGCACGAACAAGAATAAAAAATCAAGCCCTTGATATTACTCAGCCTCCCTAACCAGGAAGGAGGGTAAAATGTTCTCAGAGGACAGTCTCCTCCCCTTCAGCCACCATCACACACCAGTGTGCTAGCACCTAACCGGGTGAAATGTGGAAGGAGGAAAAACAAACATTAATGTTAGGATTGTAATAAATCTAAAATGATACATTAACAGATAAATAGTCGTCACTTAAATTTCTGCCCACTACACACTACATGGATAGTAATTACCACTTTCATCAACTGTCCTCAAGATGAGATGACCAGCATTGATCTTCTTGTCACCTCTGATCTGTGAGAACAAGGTCTAACATGTAAAAAGAAGTTCTATAATTGTACAAACTGATTGTCTTAATATTGGCTTCAACATTCCGATCTACAACAAGTCTGCTTCAGTCCTAGGGATTTCCTAAGAATGCTTGAGTGGGACTGGAGTGCTTTCCACAGTCTTCCTTAGGTGGCCCTCATGGCTGCTCTGTGAGGTAGCCAGGCAGCAGAAGCCCCCATACAGATGAACCTGAGACTTGGGAAAGTGACTCTACCGCAGGTCATATGGCTATTAAGAATTGAAGGGAGGACTAGGAACTATCCTATTAACTACCACTCTTGCTCACATGAATGGACAGAGACTCCTCCTGCCTGTGCAGAAGTCATCATCCGCCTCCTTGCAGCTTCTGGTGACAGAGTCAGCAAGGTGATTGGAAAGGAATGGCTCTACACTTGCAACCTCAGTATTAAAATCCCTTAAGTTACAAAGTCAGCAGAAAAATTCCCTTTTCTTCCGTCCTTCCTTCAAACCTGAGCATGGCCCTACAGCACTTCTGAGAAGAGGGCGATGAAGATGAGTCCTGCCTGCATGGACATTGAAGTATGAAATGGGAAGGACAGAAAGGCGTGTCCCTCAGAGCAGCACAAAAGGCACTTCAGACAATGTCCTCAGCGGGGATGTGGGCGGTGTGTGTCCCCAAGGTGGAGAACTGGTACCAGTTGCGCAGGAAGCCCCTGTTGTACTGGCCTGTATCCACGATGAGCCCACAGAGGAGCCGGCGGCCCGTCTTCTGCCGCAGGGCCTGCTGGACTTCCCTCTCGGTCACATTGTAGCTGATGTTTATCAGCTGGATGAGAAAGATGTAGGCCATGCCCGCTGTGATGATCACGGAGTACCACACACAGGTGAAGGACAGGGCCGAGCTGCACGGGAGAAAGGAGCTTTTCTAAGCATGTGTCCTCTTCAGTACAGACCTGAGCATCCTCTCCAATCCCCAGCTAGAGGGTAGCGTTCTAGCCTCAGAGTGCCATGCCCAGTTGAACCTTTTTAATTTCCCTTTGGATTGCTAGTACATACTTTTCTAGCATGCTATATTTAGTAAAGACTGTCCTATTGTACTTCACAGTACCTGACATCAGGCATTCAGCACCTGTTGAATAAGTGAGCAAGTCCTAAGTTGTGTTTAAGTCAGGAGAAATCAGAGGTTCCAGGAGATGATTATTGCTGTCTTCTAGGAAGTTGGAAATGGAAATCTACGAATAGGATTAATGCTCTGTCTGCAGTCTAGTGCTGACTGAGCCCTACAAGACAGCTCTCAGCATTAACAGCCCTTCACTACTATGTAGAAGCCAGGCTGGAGCTTGTTACTCTTCTAAAAAAGGTCAGTTCCTGGCACCCTGGTGAGTAAGCTCACAACCACCTATAACTCCAGTTCCAGGGGCTCAGATGCCCCCTTCTGGCTTCTGTGAGCAGCCACACATACTTGACGTATATTCACACATATGTAAATTAAACTTAAAAAATTCAAAAATAAAGAGCTGTAGGAACCTAACATTTCAAACCAAGCCACACCAGGCTTCTTCATGAACTGTGGGCTGGGGCTGCTGTTAGAATAATCAAAGATCAGGTGATGTTCATTCACACTGGGCAGAGATCACAGACTCTTCATTTGTAAAGTTCTCACAAATCCAGAACTCCTCTGTAAGCTGGGACCACAGCAGTCACCACATAGAGTGGGGTGAGAAGTAATGGTGGGACCGGCCCCTCATTCGCCCCATGAAGCACACAGACCCTTTACACTTACCACCCTTGTGTTGGCCAAGAACTTCACAGTGAGTGTCCATGTGTCTAGAGCAGGAAGTTACCACAAGAAGAGCAGGCTAATAATCTCTAAAACATCTGTCATTTCCAACCCTAGAGTGGGGAGCTCTGCCACAGACTAAGCACTAATGACACACAGGGGTGCCTGGTAGCGAAAGCAGAAACTGCTGAGAACAATAAGGAAGAGAACCAAACCCAAGACCACAGAGCACCCATGCTGAGGGAAGGAACAAACAGTATGGGCAGGAAGCACCCTGCTGTGGGGGAGGGGGACAAGAACACCCTCAGTGTATGGGAGATATGTTGGGGGGGAGTACCCTTAGTGTAGGAGGGGCAAGAGCACCCTTGGTGTGTGGGAGTGGGAGGGCCAAGATCAACACATTAGAATCCCATTTACACCACTGCACAGAAATCTGTACAGCTTATAAATGCGTTCCCACCTAATGATGCCTAAGGAATCTTGACCTAGATAACACAGTAATGAATTAAAAAAAATTAGAGCAGAACAAACCATGAGAGGTTAGAGAGAAAAGAAAGGTTACAGAGATATGAGCAGCTTTCAAAGGAACTGCTGCGACCTCAAGCACACAGGACTTCTCAGCTGTGGGAGCTCTGATAAAGCCAGGGCCTGTGTTAAGACACGGTCTCTTTGTGTAGCCCTGTGTCTTGGAACTTGACTTGTAGAATAAGTCAAAAGAGATCCACCTGCTTCTGCATCCCAAGTGCTAGGATCAAAGGTGTGTGCCATCTGTAGAACATAACCACTGCATAGCTTTGCTGGCAATTTTCAGGATGCCCGGTGTCTCCAAAGCCTACCCTATGCCTACCCTATGCTTTGATTGAGAAAAGCTAACTTAGGGGCAAATAACCAACTGCCTGTTTCTGGCAACAATTACTACTTCCTCGCTGACCCTCTTAAAACAGAAGGCTGCACAACTTACCTGTAATTTGCGTAAACTCCAGGACAGTAGAAGAGGGCTGTGAAGAGGCTTCTATCCCTACAAATGGTGTTCAAGGTCAGCGATATCCCATACACCGAAGTGAGCAAGAAGATCAAAAGGGCAAGTATAAATGCTTGATGATTTGATTCTCCAACGCAGCTATTTATCCTCAAAACAGAGGGGAAAACACATTTGAAAATGTCTCGTATAATCCACATGATATACAAGAAAGCCTTTAAACTAGGGACAGTAGGAACTCTAGTCATGAGACACTAAGTCATCTTAGTTTTCAATTTTAGGGAAACAAACTCATGTTTACTGTGTGACAAAGTCTTATATTCTCTGGAAGAGTAGAACTGTTATCACTTAGTTTAAAGCCATGACTAACAAAAAAGCAGAACACAACTAACAAATCTATCCATCTAGATATATAGCTTGTACATATATAAACATGTAATATAATGTACATATGCATATGTGCAGTTTTCTATGTAGTGCTGGGGACTGAACCTGGTTCATTGTGCATGTTAGGCAAACACTATACCATTGGACTACATCCCCAGCCCCTGTTCCTAAATATTAGTGAGGTCTATTATCCAGCTACAAGGAAAGTTGATTTAAGCAGTTATGAAAACTTTAAAAGTACCATCAGAAATACTGCACAAAATTGGAAAATATGTTAAGTATGTATGAGAGCAACAGAAGCATTCAAAGCAGTTCAAACTATAGTGCAGCATGGAGAACAAGGTATTATGAAGCAGGTCAGGTAAAAAAATGGTCCTATGTCATGGCCTCTGTGAAGGCAGGGTATGCAGGCCACCTCTCCCAGGATGCCAGGTGGCCAGAGGTTTTGTACAGGACAAACTGTCAGATTCTGTAAGCAAGCATTTGGAAATGAGCCAACACACTCACGTGCACATCCACACAATGGGCATAAATGACAAATGTGTAAAACTAAAACCAGCCCTTTACACCTGAAGGCAAGTCCCAGGAAAGAAATGTCCCTGTCCTAGGGCCATGTATTCAGCCATTTCAATACCCGCCAAGCATTTCCTACACTCTACCTCACCCCTGTTCTCCGCAGGTCTAAAGTGTAGTTCATTAAACAGAATTGCCCCGACAGCAACACCACCTCACTCACACCTGCTACTTATAGCATTCACCGCTGAGGGCTAATGGTCCCTTCAGCTCAGTGTCAGTGGAGTTTTAGATGCTGCACTTTATGCATTAGGAACCTGGTGTGGCTTTTGGAGTCACTAGCCAGCTTGAAGGTACAAAACAAAGCCCATCTCCTGGCAGATAACCAATAAAGGGATATATGATAAGACCTCAACTACAATGGTGAGTGGAAATCCCTGTTTGCATAAAGTGATTAAGGATGTCCAGCAAGAAAAGCATCACTGAAAACGGGACCCACGTGAGTATGTACATGAGCATGCATGTGTGTTCACTTGCATGTAGAAATAGGTTGACGTTGGTCTTCCTCAATCATTCGCCACATTATTTTTTTCAGTCAGGGTATCTCACTGAACCAGCAGATTGCTAAGTCAGCAAGATGTGATGGCCAACTAGCCTCAGTGATCCTCCTGTCTCCACCTTCCCAGCGCTGGAATCACACACACATGCCTCTACACATGGCCACTCAATATGGGAGTGGAGAAGAGAACACAGGTCGTCATGCTTGCACAGCAAGCCCCTTACCAACTGAGCCATCTCCACAGTTCCTGATAATTCTTCTTCTTTTTAATCAACCGAAGGAAAATCGGAAAGAGAAAGAGAGGGGGAAAAATCTGCCAAGTTTTTCGGCTAGTCTCCTTAAGGAAATGACTGAAGGCATTGCATCTGTGAAACTCAAAGCCCTGATGACTAAGCGGGAACATCCTCACAGCCCACAAATATCCACAAGGTGTAAAATGGGGAAAGAGACGTTTTAGGACAGCACAGAGGAAGATCAAATATGGTTAGGCTATGAATTTAGTTTCTGGGCTTCCAGATTTTTCCAACATACCAGACACAATGGTGATCCATTCTCCTTACACAGATACCGCATATCCGGCAATGCCATGCCCGGGCGGGTCGTACTAGCTGACACTTGGCACACCAGTCCTCTTTCACCTTGACAGGGCTGTCAAGTCCCACCCTGGAGGAGCCCTTAATATCATCCTTCAGCGTGCGGTTGTTGAGGCTCCCCGAGGTATCTGTTCCAGGGAACCCTTTGGTCTTTTCCTGCCCTTTTTTGATGGGGCATTCAATTTGGCTGTTGCTTGGGGTTTTGTCATTGCCTACTGGATTGCTGAGGTAGCCTGGATCCTTCTTGGCTCGGTACAAAGCTAAGAGTATCAGGAATAACCCAAAGGTAAGGAGAGCCAGCTGAGTGGGCCCTACACGCCCTTTGGGGACTACTTCCCTCAGGAACACGTAGTACATGTAACCCAGTGAGAACAGTCCAAGGCTCAGGAAAAACAGTGTCTGTTCTTTCCTTCTGTGAGTGAGGTAGTAGTACCAGAGTGCCAGCACGGGGAGGGAGATCAGAACCACCGCCCCCAGCAGGAAATGCCAGGAAGCCACGTGGAGGAAGACTGGCAGAAGCACGAGGGGAGGGACGATGCTAATATTGACTTTTCTGGCTCCTCTAAGCCAAGGAATTCGGAGGCGATCAGAAATTGTATCTGTGATTCTTTCGCAAGTCTCTGGTCGCACTGATTTACAGGAAAGCCATCTATTCAAAGAAAAAAGAATGTGCTTCAAATGGAGTTGGTGAATTAAAAACTACAGGGGCCCCAAATGTCAAACAGCAGCATAAATGATAAGACACCAAAAGCCAGCATTTTATTCCCTCACTACTAAACACAAGCTTTTCAGATGCATGTATCACATTTTTTTAAATAGGAAGATGTTTATAAATGGAACAATCGGCATTCTTTCTTAAATACACAGGTATGTACACATAGTCCATACAAATGTCTAGACCTGATTGGTGTACACTCAAATGAATCTTTTAAAAAAATTAAAATTGACAGAATTAAAAAAGGATTAGGTGTATTACTATTAGATCTTCCAATGCACTCTTAAAAGCTCAGGGGCCAAGATCACAGGGGGCTTAGTGGAAAGGTGTGACCGTACTTGACCTTGATGGTCAGCTAGCAAAGGAGGAAGGGGGCGTTTCAGCCAAGAGAAATGGTGCAATGCAAAGCCTGTGCTGGGTCCTGGGAGTGAACCCAGCTGTCACAGGCAGGAGTCTATAAAAGCAAGAATGAAGAACAAACTAAAGTCAGCCCAATGACTAAAAACAATAGCATCTCTGAACTCAGCATGCTATTTGAATGTTCCAATTTTAAACCTATTCCTTCACACATGAGTATTGACAGGCTGCTGGACATGGTGGCCATGCCTTTATTTACAGTTGCATGAAGGCCTGAGGCAGGAGGATTACTGATCCCAGCAATTCAAGGCCAGAATCAATAATATAGTGAGAGCTTCAGGAGGGTGGTCTTGTAAGAGGTTATTTGGTCCTGACAGGAGACCAAAGGAGCTTATTAATTCTTCCATATGAAGACACACAAAAACACAATTTATGAAGCAGATGGCCAAGCTGTGTTCGTGTCCTAGTGACTTTTAGAAGGTAGGACTGAAGATGAATGAGACTGAATACTGAGAGACGTCTCTAATCAAATGTTCAGGGTGTTTAGTTTCTCTTCAACTCTTCTGCTCAAGTGTGAGTGAAGAAGTCAGGCTGGGGCTCAGCGGCAAAGTGCTCGCTGCTGTACAAATCAGGATGAGTTTAGATTCCCGGCACCTGTGCGAAAAGCCAGGCACGATGACATGCATTTGGAAGCCCAGCACCAGGGAGGTGGTAGTGACCTCCAGAGCTTGCTGGCTAGCCAGTCTACCCAGTTAGTGAGCTGCAGATTCAGTGAAAAGACCCTGTTCCAAAAAATTAAGGTTAGGGATCTGTTGCATAAGACATCTGACACATCTTTGACCTACACATAAATACAAATACAAACAATAATAAATGATGACTTTAGGGGCTAGGATGATAACTCAGTTGGCAAAGTATTTGCAAGACAGCAAGAGAATCGAGTTTGAATCCCCAGCACCCATGTAAAAATCTGGACATGGGGCTAGCAAGATGACTCAATGGGTAAGGGTGCTTGCCACCATGGCTGATGACTTGAGCTCAATCCTCAGGGTCCACAAGGTGGAAGGAGAGAACCAACTTTGGCAGGTTGTCCTCTGACCTCCACATGAAAACCATGGGACATTCATGTATATAACGGCACATATGTTGTAAAAATAGAGAGCCGTGGTGGTGTGAGCTTGTAATTCTAGTGCTGCATGGGGGAACAGCGGCAGGAAGACTCCTGGAGATTGCTGGTCAGCTAGCCTGGCCAACTGAGGAGCTCTAGGTTCAATGAGAGGCACTGTCTGAAAAAAATAAGGCAGAGAAACAATTCATAAAGACACCTGACGTCAACCATTGTCCACAAAGAGTACACATGTGCACAAAAACATACTATACATATAACACACATACACTGACTTTAAAGATATAATGTATACAGCCAGGAGGTGGTGGCTCGTGCCTTTAATCCCAGCACTAAGGAAGCAGAGGCAGGAAGATCTCTGTGAATTTGAGGCCAGTCTGGTCTACAGAACAAGTTCCAGGACAGCTAAGGCTACACAGAAAAGCCTTGTCTCAGAAAGCTAACAAAACAAAAACAAACAAACAAAAAGACATAATGTATAACTAAGGAGGAAACAGAACCTGGAGATCTGGAAAGTTCTTGGCCTTCTCAATCTGTCTACACAATAGCAACTGTGAAAGCCTGTGTGGGTGAGTCCATATTAAGATCACTATGAGCCGGGCGGTGGTGGCGCACGCCTTTAATCCCAGCACTTGGGAGGCAGAGGCAGGGGGATCTCTGTGAGTTCGAGGCCGGGCTGAACTGACAGCCCCCAAAACAATACAGAGAAACCCTGTCTCATAAAAACCAAAAAAAAAAATCACTATGGCTCAGCCTGTGCTATTATCAAAACAATGGGAGGATGACCCTTAAAGCAGTTCTGAGTCTGAGGCTGCACTCCTGCCATAAGCCTAGAATGCTTGGGTCTTGGTGACACCATGATTTCATGGCTCAGAACACCCATGAAACCTCAGGGCTCACTGCCGAGTAGCACATCAAGTCTCTGCTTCCTACATTCTGGTGTAGTGTCTCACAGAAACCCCAGGTGTGACTCCTGAAAAGCCAGGTGCAATGTAGGTTGCAGGGGCCACTACTCCCAAGGACATCATCTGGTAAACTTGGGTGGCATCGAATGTTCCCAATTCTACAGCCCTATAGAATATAAGAGTTGTGGGGGCATGGCTAGATCCATGTAGATGTCAAAGAATGTTCCAGAGAACATCAAGGCTAAGGCCAAGAAGTACCATAGAGTGAAGTCACACCATAGATCCCCTGTGTACCCATGGGTATGGGACCACTGCAGAGAATCTCATTAGGCAATTCCTCATGACCCCAGAATAGTGGACCTAGCAGCACACAACCTCTGTGTAGGCACAAGACTCCAACCCATGAAAGCTGCATGTGAGCTGCACCCTTGGGGACCCAACTTCTAGCTCAGCGTGTCTGGAAAGTGGACTATCTAGTCAATATTATGTTTAAGATGTGCATCGTTCCAAAAAAATACAGAGAAACCCTGTCTCGTAAAAACCAAAAAAAAAAAAAAAAAGATGTGCATCATTACACAGAGAAACCCTATCTCAATAAAAGCAAACAAAAAGTACTTGAATCATAAAAAATGTTATTTGCCCTGTGAATGGGACCTGTTATCCCCCTTTCCTTTCCTATTTCCCCGTTTTTGTCATGGGAATATCTTTTCAATGAATGTCCCACTATTGTGTTTTGAAAGTATGTAGTTGCTATTTCTTTTTATGTTTAATTATTTTATGTGTATCTGTGTATATATATGCATCATGCACATGCCTCGTGCCCACTGAGGCCAGAGAAGGGTGACAGATCCCCTAAGACTAGAATTACAGGCAGTTGTAAGCTGCCATGTGGATGTTAGGAAACTGAACCCTGGTCCTCTGCAAGAGCGAGAAATGTTCTTAGCCTCTCTTCTGCCCATAGTCTGCTATCAACAGACCCAAAGCAGAAGGACACTACATGAGTCCTTCTGAGTTTTACCTGTTTCTGACTGAGACAATGCTACTCAGACTACTGTCCATCCAGACTTAGCTTGTCTGTGCTGACACTTGCACAATTAGATATTTGAGGTTGTTGGGATGTAAGGAACGTATTTGATCGTGAAGACATTCATTTGGAGGGGGCAGGGGTAGACTGCTAAGATTTGAATATCTGTGGCCCACTAACATTAATTTAATTCAAACCTAGTCCACAATACAATCTTATTAAGAGGTTGCCCTGTGAGGAAGTGATGATATCAACAGGGTAGAGCACCAATGAGCTTAACATCCACACAAAAGAAGACCAGGGAAGGAGGGTCATTCATCCCTTTTGTCATCTGGGGATGGAGCAAGATGGTGCCATCTATGAGGGAGGGTTCACCAAAGACATAAATCTGCCAGCACTTCTGACTCTGGATTTCTCCACCTCCACAACTGTAGACCATCCACTTCTACCCACTGTGGAGTACTCTGCTGCAGAGCCTAAGTGGACTAAGACAGGCAAGAAAGTTAAGGTAGGTTAGGCTAAAGTAATGTTACACAGTTGTTTTGAGCAAGACAAAACCTTAAAGTGAGTGGGAGATGATCACTTGGAGTCACAGGCATATGGGACAGTGGGAATATGGAGGGCTGTCCTAGGACATGGGGAGGTAAAGATAGGGGAGAGGGGAGAACCCAGGGGATAGCCCAGGCATCAAGGGCTGGGAGAGACGAAGAGTCAGCAACGTTAATGGAAAAGCAGCAGTCCTGAGTGACAGTTATTATGGAAACAGCATTATTTCTCCATTCATTAGTGCAAAGTGCTCTATTTTCTCAGTATGGATTTTAGACTAAGTCTAAAGAAGCTATATTTAACACTACCTATTTTTTTAAAAAAGGCTACAGAAAAAGACAAAGAACAATTATAAAGACATACAGACTTTAAGAGTGAAGCTTGCCTAAAGACTGTAGTGGTCTCCAGGGAAAGCTTTTTCATGGCTACATTAACAATCTACAGTAACGGTGACTTTGTAACCAGAAGGAACTGCTTCTGGGAAAGCCTGTCTCCAGCATCCCTCTTCCTCTCACATTATGCTTTCCATAAGTAGACGTTTAAAAATATATGTTTATAAAAATGGCTAAAACCAGTTCATTGCTGCTTGATACAAAATGGTTTTCATTGATGAGAAAAAGTCTCCTCTTGGATAGCAATTTCCATCACTAAAACAATGTCGAAAGTAAAGGCCAAAGATAAGACAATATTATAATCAAGATGGCATTGTTGCTTACATAAAAATAGTCACTCTTTGTGGGGTATATAGGACCTTTCTCCCTGGAAACAAGCAGTGAACCAAGAGCAGAAAACCATCTTCCAGCCTCCAAGACCCATGTGACTAAGTGAGAACGATCCCTTGCATGGACTCCATTACGATCACAGGAATGACTTTCTGGAATGTTCATTTAAACTTACAGTCTAATTGAATTTGCCTACTAGCTTATGTTTTGCGCGTTTCTCCCCATCCCTTTAAAAACTGTTCAAGCCCGCATGAATTGAACTGGACAGCTGTAGACTGCTAACTACCTCATTTTTTATAAAATCTTCACACGACATCAGAAACAATTCTCTATTTTAGATCCTTTGGAATAGAATCAAGAGCAAATCCTGGCATTCTGGATGGCAACCTGAAAGAACATAGGGTAGGTGTCAACAGAGCCAATGGAGTGAGCATCTGGAAACTATGCTTACCTGTCACAGCCTTCATCGAGGTCTTGACAATCACACAAACAAGCAGCCACGTGGTTCTTTTCCCCATTTCGATCTATATACTCACAGCAGCACAGGGGCTCCAGCTCAGGTTCTTCGGTTTTCTTTTTCTTTACTGGCTTCATATTGCCCTTCAGTGTTTGCACCTGTCACCTAAGACATGAGAAGCTTTCAGAAGGTAAAGGTGGCAAGAACTCAACTCACATCCTGTAAACACGTCCTCACTTGTGATTAACGCCAACGCCTGAGCAATAAAAATGAAAAGAAAGGGGGGAGGGGTCCTGTTTCCATCAGGTTTTTCTGGCTCCGCATGGCCTGAAAGGGGGCTCCCTGACTCCTGGAGCTCCTAGTATCTTCACCTCCCCTTCCCAACAAGGCTAGCAGCATCTGGGTACCTGCCGTTCCCATGGCGACAGACGACCACGCGGCCCGGGACAGCCGGGCTAGGGAGGCTCAGTTCACCTGCGGGTGCGGACTGGGTAGAGCCGGGCGATCCCCACCCCAAGGCTGCGCGCCGCCGGGGAAACTCACCCTGGTAGGTGCAAGCAGCGACGCCGCGGCGCTGCAACCATCCACCCACTCCGGGCTGCCAGGAGTCCCCGGCAACCCCGAGGTCTCCGTCCAGCCCGGTCCGAGCCAGCCGCTCCGAGGGCGTGGGCGGGCCTGGAGAATGACCTTGGCTGAGAAGTTACCTGCCCTCGGACCGAGGCGGGGACGGGGAGGACCGGCACCTCTGGGCGCGGCTGCGTCCGGGACCCAGCACAACGGGCTCGGGCGAGCAGGGCGGAGTCGCCCACCTGTGTGCACCGCCGGTGTGCGCGCGCCTGCCTCGCGATCCAGTCGCCCCCGGCCGCCGCACCGCAGGTCGGCGCGCGCTTCCGGGTGCCCCGCCCCCGGCGCCGGGATCCCGCCGCCCGCACGTGCGGCGCCTGCCCACGAGGCCCCTCCCACGCCGCGCTCCCGGCCACCCCGCACCTGCGCCGGGCCCTTGGGGTGCTGCCAGAGTAAGGGACCAGACCCAGACATTCGCGCGCTGCAGGAGTTCGCCGGCCACCAACCGTCCTCCTGCGCCTGCAACAGGCTTTGGGTTCTATCTGCACCACCGTGTTCTGGGATGCCACCCCACAAGTCGCCCACCTTCCCTTTAGGCCAGCTGCTGCTCCCAAGTCCCGGCTTATCCAACTTGTTCAAGCTCTTGAGTCCTGGGAGTTGGGTCTGCTTTCCAGTCAGGCCTCTGGTACTTTCCCTTGCATTTGCAATGAAATTGCCCAGAGAGTCCTTTCTGGGTTTTATAGCTGCACAAATCTATGAGAACTATGGGCCTACCTACAGGTTTTCACTAGCCCAGGCTTTCTAGATTTGGTTTTGGTTTTTAAGCTGAAACAGAAGGAAAATTACAACTTAAGATATTTTGGGTTTTATTGAAATCAGACTACATAACAGATTCAGACTTTATTAATTCTGCATACATATTTAGTCTTATCTGCAAAGCAACGTTGGTAATCTTTGAGGTATATTATAAAGTAGTTTGAGAGAAACCACAAAAACATTCACTTTAACAGTTAACATTTTTCTAAATTTAACAATTTCAAGTTTCTAATCCAGTCACTCTTGCTCACAGCCAGATACTTCATATGTCCTTAACAAAAGCAAACAAAATAGACGGAGTTTATAGTCTGCATCCCGCCTGTCTCCAGGTAGATTAGTTGGGATTCATCCAGAGAAACCCACTTCCTTCTAGTCAGTATTTTCATTCCTTAAGGCATTTGGAAATGTTGTTAGCAATGCCATTTGGCTTTGGTGGCACTAAAAGGAAACATTTCACTAAAGTTAATTAATGGTTGTTCAAGCAATAATATATGCCAAGCAGTGGTGGCTCACACATTTAATCCCAGCACTCAAGAGGCAGAGGCAGGCAGATCTCTGTGAGTTCGAGGCCAGATTAGTCTACAAAGCAAGTTCCAGTGCAGCCTTCAAAGCTACAGAGAAACCCTGTCTTAAAAAAAAAAAAAGAATTATATATATAGTATGTCCATGTTCCAAAGAAAGACCTGTAGAGAACAAAACAATAAATATGCCCTGAACCTTTCCTAAACCCTAGGGATCAGATCTGATTTCAAGTCCTTATTTTCACAAACCGCCTGTGTTGAGGCAAATGCCCGAGTAGCTTTCTTGGAAGCCCAAGCTTGGTCCTCTTCAGGCAGTGTGCATGTGCCCCACAGTCTGTATTGTGGAGCCCAGCTTATAATTTTCTAACAATACAAGCCGCACACCTGTGTAAAGAATGAAGCTATCTATAGCAGCTACTGAGAAATGATAGATTATTTTCAATCAGATGGGTCACTTCCACCTTAGAGACTGCTAAACTGAACCCAAGCATAGCTCATGGATTCATTTGATCCTTCATGAAATGCCCAGATTTTATCATAATCTTCTGGCTTCGAAAACTAAAAACAGTTCATTCTGAGCATTGGTATCCTACATACTTCCTTCTCCTAAATTACTTCCCTGTCTTTTTTATATATGAAGGATAATCTTACCTCCAATACATATAAGATGTGTGTGTGTGTGTGTGTGTGTGTGTGTGATTCCTTCATTAAGATACAACACAGCCAATGAATCTTTCAGACAACATGGAGATTCAAAGGGTTTGACCACTGCCCTTGCATGCTAATTCAATGAAGAGACTGTAGTGTTTAAAGATACAAACCTGGGATCTATGTGCCTAGAAAATGATCCTTTAAAGTGAGAAATGATGGAGGGGTTTCTTCTCTAGCTTTTTAGGCTCTTAAACTCAGTGTTGAACACAACCCACTGGACACACAGGGACTCACTCTGTGCTACCAGATAAATTTAAAGGGTCAGCTTACAAGCCTCAGCACAGAAAAAAGAAAGGCCACCATGCTCAGGTGACTCCCTTCCCCTTTTGTGTCACAGAATTTCAATTCCAAAATATATTTCATGGTTCACTGGAGAAATTCACAGCTTAGAAATATCTATACAAAGTGAAAAGACTTAAGGCTGTTGGAGAGTAATCACCAAGTAAATGTTATTTAAATAAGCTTTTCTAGTAGAAATTCAGTAATGAAAATATCAGAAATGGTCCTGTGACAGTGACAGTCTTCATCCTCGGTTTCCTTCCAGATGTCATCTTTTAGGTCCAGGTGTCTCTGTGATTTCTGCATCTCAGCACTAGCTCTCCACAGCAACCCCAGTCTTGTTCTTACTTAGTAAATCAAAGGTTTTCTGAAGCATAATGAGTGAGCTCTTCAGCTGCAAACAAATTGATCAAAAATCAGACTTCAATTTTTACTGATTATTTTATTCCAAAGGGGTTTTTCTTTTTAATGCTGATGCTCAAATAAAACATTGACCACCGAATACCTGGTTCTCCTGTTACCTGCTGCATGAATTCCAGAGTGTGCTCACCGGGTGCTGCACTTCCCAAAAAGTCTGTCTAATTATCCAAAGGGAAAAGCTCTTTGCTTAGGCATTTCTCAAGGCTCAGTGGGCTTTTCAACCTCCCCTGAACATTGAAGCAGGCTAGGCCACCCAACATCCTCTTCACAGTTCTCAAACTCTCCTACACCTACCAGAACTGTGGACCTTTCCCAGATGACCCTGCCTCTGAACTCCTACTTCACACTTCTACCCTAATTTTGTACTCTCAAAATCAGACTTGAAAACCTGTGGGACAAATGACTCTTCTGATAAAACTGGAAGCAACATGAGAGCAAGAAATATATCTTATTCCTCACTGTTTTTATTCATCCATTGGTTCAACAAACCTGGTGTGTGTTTCATGCTGGGCGCTATGCTAAGCATGGAGTACATAATGCTGAGCCAAATATTCCTGGCACTAGCCACAAAGGGCACAGGGGTTCAAGGACAGGATGATTTATAGATGTGGTTATAGCAGAAAGGGGGACAGTTTCTCTTGTCTATAAGGCATGGTCATCCACTGAGAGGAGATAAGGCATGGTCATCCACTGAGAGGAGAACATGAGAGGGAAGTGAGATGATGAAGTAGATGGAGAGAGTTACTAAGCAACTGTAGAGAAGTTGCATCTAAAGACTGCCAGCTGAGGACCCGCCCAGTCACAGACTGGCCTACCTGTTCCAACATCACTATGGAATCTTGGAGCACTCCTTTTAAATGGTGGGCCTGATCTTTGTTCTTTTGAATATTTTCTGTTCTTGAGAACCTATCAGAGGCTAAACTGGAAGAAAAGAAAATCTTAAAAATCATGAAAACAGCTGCTGACATTATTGTTTACAGAAATTATTATGCCCCATGGATTGTAAACAAAACACAAAATCAAACCCCACTACCACTACCTCTGGGGAAAAAAAAACCTAGGCATGTATGACTAAAGATATAAAGATTAGAATTTCTAAAATTAAACTTTCTATAACAAAGAAACAGGTGGTAAAACAGACAGGGTTGGGGTGGGGAACTTACCTAAAAGGAACAGGTGGTAAAGCAGGCAGGGTTGGGGTGGGGAACTTACCTAAAAGGTTTTTCTTGTTGGAGGCGGAGCCGGTAGAAGGACTGAGCAGCGTGTTCTATCTTTGACAGCTTCAGAAACAACGTCACATTCAGCAGAACTAGCAACAGCAAACTGCAGAGAAAATGATGCTGGTTAACAGCACTGACCCGCACTGCAGGCTGCAGAGGTGGCCCAGCACCCAGATGGTAGAGGCAGGAAGATCTACTGTGATTCAGGACCGCAAGGCAGCCTTGACTACAAAGCCATACCCACCCCAACAAGCCCCTCCACTACCCAAAATGCAGAAAGTAAAATGATATATATGCCAAAATTTCCAACTATATATGACTATTTTCTAGTTACTTAAATAAATTATCCCCATTTCATTATATAAAATAATTACCTTCCAGTATTACATGGATGCCAAAGAAAACGATGGGAAATGACTAGTGTGATAAGAAAAGCCCTCAACAACCTCAACTCACAGGCTGCCTCTGACCCCTGTCCTCTCCTCTCTGCTGGAATCCCAACCAGTGCTGGGCAGCAACCAGTTTAGAAATCTACAAGGTAAGCTTTAAAGGTCTATTTTTGGGTTATGTTGGCTTAAGCAATAATTACATACCCATAATACTGCATTTCAAAAATGAAATGAAGATCAATATGCAGCTGATTTTAGGGACATCACGGTATTATCATTTGTTCCCAGTGGAAGCAAAAAATGTATATATATATATGTATATATATATGTATGTGTGCTGAATATATATATGAATATATATTCAGCAAGTATATGTGTGTGTCTATATATACATATACATATATATATATATATTCAGCAAGAATATCTTGTTAATCTTAAACAAATGAAGTACCAGATAAATCCAAACATATTAATAATGGTAAATATAAAAGTTTACATGCAAACATAATGTTTTGTTTTTAACAGCAGATTTGCAAATTAATGCAGACCTTATTACACATGTATACAAACTGGTAAGTAGTAGCATGTGTCTTTACTTACTTTGTTTTGTTAAAAGATTTATGTGCCTCAAATTAGACCTATTAGGACTGAGGGTATAGCTCAGTGGTAGAGTGCTCACTTAGCACAAACAGAAAAAGTATATAGATACATATCATGTGTGAAAAAGCTAAAAAGTTACAGGAAAATCAAATCTGTGAAATTATCATGGCACTGAAGTGATACATGTGTATACACACACATACATATATATATTCCCATATTTGAATATAAATGTAATATAGTGATACTTGTCATTCAAAAATAAACCAATTTACAGGCGGTGGTGTCACATGCCTCTAACCCCAGCACTCAGTAGCAGTGGTGCATGCAGGCTGTCCCAGCATAAAGGAGACTGAGGCAGGAGGATTATGAGATAATTCAAAGCTAGCCTAGACTTCGTAGTAAGCCCCTATCTCAAAAAACAATGAACAGTAATAAGGATAACAAATATTTTCTGCTGTTCTGAAATCTGTAGTAAGGGAAAACAGCTAGGAGCTTTATCCCAAACATTGTCACCCAGTCTAACACTGAATCAGAACCATTCATATAATCAAAGGACTCCCTCAGCGTTCACACACAGCCATGTAGAATTAGAGTTCTTAGGTGTAACTTGTGAGATAGGTTTACCCTAAGTTTCAGGCTAATTGCCTAATATTTTTCACAATGTGATGCTCAGATCACTCATATCAGAATAATCTAGAATGTGTGTGTGCTTCAAAATTCACCACTGACTGTTCTTCCAGAGGACCCAGGTTCGATGTCCAGCACCCACATGGCTGCTCACAACTCTCTGTAACTCCAGTCCCAGGGGGTCCGACACCCTCTTCTGGCCTCCATAGCCACCAGGAATGCATGCGGTACACAGAAAGACATGCAGGCAAAACACCCACACATATGAAAATGAATTTAATTTTTTAATGTTTTAAAAATTCCTGATCACTATTCAAAGTCTACTGAATCAACCTTTGAGACCAGGGCTGGAAAATCTATATGTTAGCAAACTCCTAAATGATTCTTATTCATATAAACATGAGAACCTATTTAAGCAAAGTAGAATAATTTTATTGGAATTTTGCCAACATGTATTTTCTTTAAATTTCTGAAACTTCCCATAAAAACCCACAGAATTCATAGAAATAAGTCAAACTGTTTTGTAAAAAATGCTTAGTATATATTTTATATTCCCTCAAATTTTACAATTCTGAAAAATCATACATCAAAAAGCTATCACACCAAAACCTATAAGATTGCTTTTATAGGTCAACAACAGTCAATAGTGACCACTTCTATCTGGTAAAACACAAATGCAGGAACTGTCAAGATGGCTCAGGTTAAGGACGCTGGCTGCTCTTCCAAGCAGCAGGGTTTGCTTCGCAGCACCCACATAGCGGCTCACAACCTTCCATAACTCCAGTTCTGAGGGATCCATGCCCTCTTCTGTCCCCCATGGGCACTGACACATAGACATACAGGGAAAACACTAATACACATAAAATAAGATTAAGTCATTTTTAAGAAAACCACAAAGCTTTTCAATTCTTTTGGGAGCTATTTAAAAACAAATGAAGATTATAAACCAAGTAAGTACAACAAATACTCACAAGACACTCATCACCACTATCAGAGCGGTGTCACAGCTGTCCACAGTCTTTCTCTTTCCTATAGGTGAAAGACGAGAGTGAGGACTGTGAAAGTTAATAATCATCTCAAATTAACTTGAAAAAATATGTCATTTGTAAAGACAAAATGATTTAGGGTAAAGTCTCTGAGCTTTTTTTTTCTTTTTTAACTCATGATACTTTGGGTAAAATGTGAAACAAACTAAAAGGAGATAACCCGTGGCAATTCTTCTAACTGGAAATACGTTACAAATTAATTTACTATGAAATTAAATAATTCAATACATAGCTGTGTACTATCTCTGCTAAGAACAGTTGAGTTGATTTAATATATAATGTTTCTCTCCTTAAAAAAAAAGATAACCAATCACTGTGAACTAAACCTTTACATTTCAAAATTAAAAAGCCATTGATCGAGCTGGGCGTTGGTGGCGCATGCCTTTAATCCCAGCACTCGGGAGGCAGAGGCAGGCGGATCTCTGTGAGTTTGAGGCCATCCTGGTCTACAAAGCGAGTTCCAGGAAAGCCTCCAAAACAATACAGAGAAACCCTGCCTCGAAAAACAAAACAAAACAAAAAAAGCCATTGATCTTAATCAGTAGTTAGACATAGTTACATAAAGTTAAAGTCTAATGGGAGCTTAATAATGTGATGGGATGGGGGGGTTGACACCTGTGGGGGTGACAATAATAGCAAGGAGTCTGCAAAACCGAAAGTCAAGTTCTATCTCTGCAGTTTTCCTAGGCTAGCCCCCAACAGTACACACAGAGTTAAACGTCAGGCATCTGTGTGTGTTAAGCAGGAAATAAACAAGTGAGCTGCCCAGAAGCTTGTGTTTAGTGACTCATATTGGGGGCAGTAGCCAGCTGGACAGCTGAAGGGGCAGCTCTAAGCAGCCCCAACCAACTGCTGTTATGAAGTGATTTGGTACAGGGCCATCAGACTTGAGATTTTATTTAAATATCCTCTTTTTTCTTTTTCAGGAAGAATCTCACTATGTAATTCTGGCTGCCCTGGAACTCACAGGGTATACCAGCTGGCCTCAAACTCACTAAGATCTGCCTGCCTGTCTCTGAGTGCTGGGACTAAAGACACATACCAACCTAAAACTTTTAAATGCTCTGTGGGTCAAAAAAAAATACTCTACTGGCCATATTCCTGCCATATCCCAGCTGTTCCTTCAGGCTTCTATAGAAGCTATCATTAAGAAACTTGGAGTATAATAAATATCATCCAAAAGGAGAAAAGGCAGGATTCCTTAAATGGCATTCTTCATCAACGTTCTAAGGCTAAAATCTTTTGTCTGTAACAGGGAAAGCTACCTGAAATATCCCCTCTGGCCTCGAAGCCCATGTCTATAGAAGAACACTGAGAGGACAGCTTAGAAATAGTTTCTGTCGTTCGATTCAAGGTCCGCCTTCTCCGCCGTAGGCTACTGAGTTTTCCAGGGTCTTCAATGGATTGATTCAACACAGACTCTTCCATTAATAAATCTGATTCTAAGATGAAAAATTTAAAACAATAGGATAAAAAGGAAGCCTTCTCAACTATAAGACCCAAGTAGTGTGTGTGTGTGTGTATGTGTGTGTGTGTGTGTGTGTTCCCACTGGTGTGCAAGCACAGGTGTGCTTGTTTGAGCCTTGGCAATCTTTTCTAACCATATCTTAGGTTTTACAGACTCAATTCAAACTTTATTCTTAATTAAAAGCTTTAGAGACTACAATGACCCTATAATGGGGCTTCATTATTCTAGGAAGAATGTGTATCAATAAATGATGGGCTCATCAGTGGAAACTTGCTACATGCTATATTAAATATTAACGTAATGGCTTCATTTATGGAAGCAACAGCTCCACACACTTCCATGAGATCGTTAGAAAACTTGCCAAGATAGGGTCTAGTGCTTCCTAACTCTAAAGTAAAAAGCAGCATGTAGGAGCTCTAAGGTTTGAAAAGAAACACTCTGACAAGAGAAATCTTCAAACAACCTAAAAGTCCCATTTTATCATTTATTTCAAACCTTTCCTTTCTCAGTTTTTTTCCATCGGAAGCTCATTACCCAGTGACCAAGCTAATGTTTAAGCATCATTTTCTCTGTTGCTGATGAGAAGTTTAATAATGAAACAGCCAAAAGGGAAAAGGCCGGAAGACAAATGACCAGCAAAATAAACTATGCAACTTAAGTCACTCAACCTGATTGGCCGCCAGCTTTTCCTTCAGTAAAAGGAAAAGCTCACATGTGTGTGGTGTCCCCTCATTTATATAGTAAGAAATATCCCAGCTCAACAGCTGTATTGCTTCTCATGCTCCCAGCACCCACCTCCACCAAATCCATACATAAATGCAGCACCATTACCAAGCAGACAACATAAGCCCAGGAAAGCTGCAGCCAGGAAGGCAGGCGTGAGCCTGTGGCTCTGCAGATATGAGAGAGGACAGGTGGATCTGTAACCCAGTTTTGCAATCCCTTGCTGTGATCAGCCTCCCGGCTCCTTGCAAAGACAAGCAGTGTGTGATCTTGGACCAGTCACTTAACTATACTGTTTTGCTTTCTTCTGTAGTAAAATGGGAGCAACCAATCATAGCTATACTTCACAGGGCTGTTACAAATATGAAATGTTAACACTATGATATGCATTTTATTGTGTGATGGCATATAATAATCAAGTAAGTGTTGTTAGAGCAGCAATAATTGAATTTTAAAATCCTGCAATTGACAGAGCAAGTAGGGCACTGAGCCACTCCAGAGAGCTATTCTTCCAGCAGCATCACCTGGCACCGCTACATGTCCTAAAGAAGGACGGCCCATTGCTAGCAAATGTGACCCTGGCAAAAACAGATGCATCCAAACTTTACAGACCAAGCTGTTTGAAATAGTTCTCCAGTGTGCTCCAGGAATTCTTCTCAATTAAAGACTTGACAATGCCCCACGGTTGTTTCCTGTATTTCAAGTCTGTGGAAACTCTAATAGGATGAGAAGGAAAAAATATTTCTTTAGAGACAGACTTTGACCAGCAGAAGAAATCAGGCAAGTTCAGGGGAGTATGGCCATAGACTGCTTTAGCTATCCCACTGCAATGAAACCTAAGAATGCATTCTGTGGAAAGTCAAAAGAATTAAACATCATTACTGTTATAAAATAATATCTGTTCTTCCTTAAAAACCGTTGTGAACTGCCAATTACCTCATCTAACTATAATACTCTACCCTTACCTAAATAGCAATGAAGGCTTCAATAAATGCTAAGAAATTAAGCTGGTGGTAATGGTTCACTCTTTTAATCCCAGCATCTAGGAGGTAGAGGCAAGTGAATCTCTTTGAGTTTGAGACCAGCCCAATCTATAGAGCAAGTTCCAGGGTAGCCAGGGCTACACAGAGAAACCCTGTCTTTGAAAAACAAAAACAAAAACAAAAGAAAAGAAGGGAAGGGAAGGGGGGAGAGGGGAAGGGAGGAGAGAGAGAGAGAGAGAGAGAGAGAGAGAGAGAGAGAGAGAGATTAAATGAATTTTTAAATGCAGCAGATCTCTAGTTGAAAGTAACTCCATTAATTAGTGCCAAGGCCTATGATGGTCATCGTTCATCAAGGCAGCAGTATTCTTTACTTCCCACTACAACAGAGTACCTTGAAACTTCTGGCCCCTGTGGATCTTAGCTGGGCCATGTGACTGATTGTGACCAGTTCTATGGCTTTTTCTTCCTGGGGCAACTGGAGGACACTCATTCTTGACTGTGTACCCCCAGAATTTCAAAACCTTTCTCAGTTTCAGCCTTGAGTCAGGATGCCCGCCCTTCTCCTGACCACTGATGGGCACATAATTTAGGCAAGACACTAAGATTCAGGGCTAATGTTACACAGCACACTGTAGCCTACTTTAAACCATGCACTTGCAATAGCTCACCTCAGTCTGCATCTCTGCTTTGCAGATCGGACAATACAGTATCTATTCAACGTATAGAAGTAGTCGTGGTAGGGAACATCATGTGTCAGGACTTCTGAATCTACTAAATAAAACTGTGCTTCCCGACTTTCTTTATACAGAGTCTGCCAAAATAAGATAAAAATGCTTACATGCATATTTTCAATATTTCTATGTTCTCAGCAATTTAGAACATATATACTGAAGTCCCTTCTTACAAACACAAAAGACATCAAAAATCTTATGACAAGCTAGGACAGAATGAGAAATGAATTGTAGAATATTTCTGTTTTATTGGCTATAGTGAGTTTTAAGTTAAAAATTAAATTGACAATTCAAAAATCAATTGAATAATACAAGGGTCACAACTCCCACATTCACCAAAGCTTAACAAAACGAAATGTCACAAAAAAAAAACAAAAACAAAAACAAAAAAAAACAGGACATGGAGCAACTAGACAAAATATTGCTTTCCCTAAACAGGACTTGGGGGAGTTGTCAGCTAGACCTTCCTCATCTTAGCCGCTCTTCTACCCATCCTTGAGGAGAAGGACTGCTGGCTTCTGAGTTCACAGAAGATTCTCCTATGCCGAACGCTCGTCTCCTCCTGGATATGTGACAGTCTCTTAAAATGTGATGAAATATAAGGGAGTCACATTTTCTTTGACACTAATGGAGAAAACTCCAACAGCACACTGCCTTCAGGTGCTCACTGCTGTTTGCAACGAACGTCATATCACAACCCTGCTGCTCAGATTGGCCAGTGAGTGCCTCACTAGTGATGGAGAAGAGTACCAGTTTGTATTTGGTTTCTAAAACTCCCTGCTTTCCCACATGTCACGACAGTCATCGAGCTCTTTGCCTTTCTCCCTGACATGATCCCATACATTAGCTAGAGGGGATGTTGCCCTATCTGCTTTCATCTGAGCCCATCCCTGCCTCTACCAGCCTCCCTCCTCAGTGCTAGGTTAGTGCGCTAATTTTAGATAATACTTCAGTTTACATTGCTATGAATTCATTTGTAGGTACCTTTTAAAATTTATCTATGGCCTGGTGATGGCCGCACATGCCTTTAATCCCAGCAATCAGGAAGCAGAGATGGGAGGATCTCTGTGAGTTCAAGGCCAGCCTGGTCTACAGAGTGAGTTCTGGGACAGCCAGGGTGACAGAGTCATGTACCTGCTTCTCCGTGGCCGCAGTGCATTTTCCCATAAGTGGGTTACTGAGGACTACAGTGTAAGTCATGGTTCTCAGCTGATCGCCTCCAGACTCAACTGACCAGGGTGTAGATACCACATCTAATCAGAGAGAACATAGAAACTTCAAGTTGAATCAAAGGTGTAGTTTGAGAATTATATAAACATTTACAAGCAGCCCTTTGAGTGTCTGTCAAAGTTTAGCAACTCCATTGTAAAAAGACAACAACACACGCCACAGAGTCTCCCATTCAGGACATGCTATGAATATAATATGCTTCGGCATTCCTTAAAAAAAGTCATACACTTAATTTCAAAGAACCTTTTCAGATTATTTAGTCATAAATCAGTCTATTCCAGAAAAGCACAAATAATCCACTGTTACACAGAAACAGGATCAACAATTATCATTGAATCCTGTTATGGAAATTCCATACTATTGAAATAAAGCAACAATCAAGATCTATTTCCCATGCATGTTACACTTGGATTTTTAGCATGTTACCAACAAGGCCTACTGATTATTATTTGCCAGAACATCCTCTGATTAGCATCATATTGGAAGAGTCGGTTCTCAATACTGAAGTAAAGTTCTTTATCAATAAAACATCAAGAATGGAATTCTAAGAAAATAGCAACAGACAAAAGGATACATTGTCACTTTTTATGAAGCTAATGTGAAAATGAAAAAGACAGGAATTACATAATACTTACGAAACTTTGTTTTTGATAAACAATTTAAATTAGTAAAACTTCACACCCATTAAGGTGGCTATTATATAACACTAGAAGCAAGGAGAGTTGATCATTCTGTGCTAAAACTAGTGTCTCTATGCATTGCTAGTAGGACTGTAAGTTGGTATAATTTTAGAATAAAGGACAGCTGAGCCTCAAAGAAAATAAACTAAGTTACCCTTTGATGCAACAACTCTGCTTCTAGACAACTAACATAGAGCAAGCAGAAGTAGAAGTGAGGACTTAAGTAGATATTTGCATATTAGTGGCCAGGGCAGTGAGTAGCTAAAAGTTACAAACAAGCCAAGTGTCATTTATGGATGAATGAATATGCAGAATATGGTATTATACATACATATAAGGAATATGATTCTGCCCTTAAAAGAAGTGGAATATAATTCTGCTAGATGTCCTCTTGCAGGTGGATGGATTTGAAGACATTATGTCATATGTAAAATTCTCAGTAAAAGGCAAATGTTTTATATATTCATTTATATGATGTACCCTGAGTTGTTAAATTCGCAAATATAAAAGATGGAACGGTAGTCCCTCATGAACTGGTGAGGGACAAATGGAGAGTTGTCATTGATAGGTTCAGAGTTTCTGTTTGTGTTGATGAGGAAGCTGTAGAGCTACATGGTAATAGCCACACAACGATGAATGCAGGTAATGCCTCTGAACTATATGCTTATAAACGGCAAACTTCATATCATGTACCTTTATTTCATCGCAACTTTAAAATCTGAGGAGCCCAGGTAAAGTAAACATGGATGTTATTTTACTGTCATGCAGCTTCTCTGAAGGTTTACATTTATCTAAATGAGAAATATTTTAAATTGATTTTAATTAGAAATGTTGCTGTGCAACTGTAAATAGAAATTAAAGAAACTGCCAATTTAAAAGTTCCTTACTAAAATAAATTAGATCTATGGGGCTGGTGAGATGCCTCAGGAGAAATCTCAGTTATTTTGTTGCCATGATAAAATAGCATGAGCTACAACCCCCAGTTACACACTTCCTCCAGCAAGAAGACTATACCTCCTAAAAATTCTACAGCTTCTGCAAACAATGCCATCACCTGGGGACCTGGTATTCAAATGCCAATGGGGACAATTTTCATTTAAACCATCACAGCAGGTAAAAAGTGTTTGGCACCAGCCCTGCCAACCCAAAGCTTGATTTTTCTGAACCCACATGGTGGAAGGAGAAAACCACCTCCTACAAGTTGTCCAATATCCTCCACACACATGCATGCATACACACACACACACACACACACACACACACACACACACACACACACAGTGAAAAAAGAGAAGGAAAAGAAATAAGACACTTTGATTACTAGCTAGCAGGTTCTAAGAATAACACTATGGACTATAGTCGTGAGAAAATTATCCTTTGGAGAAAAACCTCTTGATTCATTCCAGGACTGCCCTGTAATGTACCTATAACTGTCCAGACTTTAAGCGGGAAGCCTTTGATTCCCAAAGCTATTTATGACACCAGAGAGTGGATATAATCAGCCATGTTGAAGCCAGATAGATACTAGACAACAAATGCAGTTGTGTTGCAAAAAACAAACTTTACTTCATGCCAATTTTAATAACCTGTGATGCTTCCTGAACATAAAAAGGGCAGCAAGGCATCAACAGCCACTGCTTAGCAATTACAGGGATGGACCAGACCTAACTCTTCACAAGTACTAAGTTCTCTAGACAGAAATGAATAGCAAAGTATAAAATGGATTCAAAAAAGATACAGTTAAGTTAAATATGAGCTACTGGACAGAGGATGACTTCTATCTCCTAGACACTCCATATATTTAATGGAAAGTAGAAAAATTATTCTTAAAGCCATGAAACTCAGGATATAATCACAAAATTCCATAACAGAATCCCTTTGCTACCCTACTGTGAATAAGAACATTTACTTTGGGTTCTTGATTCCATATCATTGATCTTATCTATGGATATTTATGTGTCTTTGTGAAAGTCTCAAATCACCTAATGGTTAACAAAAATCCTTAGGTTACAGAATTGATTCACTGACCATGTCAAATAGCTTACCTTTTATAAATATCTACTGCTACTGTGTTCTAATTTTATATGGCTGACTCTTAATGTTAAAAAAATGTCTGGAACATTTGACATAAATTCATTTTTAAACTTACTATAAACTTGATATATTTAACAAAGTAGAACTTTTATCACATGAGCAGTGAAATTCTTCTGAGAATGTAATCAGCTCCATAAAGTATATGTTTTCATTATATTTTAGGTGCTGTGGCCAAAAGGGCACAGCTCTGTCATTTTCACAAAGGGAGCACGCATGGGCACTACTACTCCAACTAATATACAAAACTTCTTATCTGCACCCAAGAGCAGCCTCCACAATTGCAATGACAACATTGACTTCCATGTCTCTGTAAAGAAATTACATGGCATGTGTGCTTTGTATCTGGCTTCTTTTGCTTAACACTGTGTCTATGAGGTTTACTCACAGTTATAAGTTGGAGTTCACTGTTGTTTGCATTGGTATATGGAAATTCTTTAGTGGAAACTTTAATATACTTTGTTACTCTATTACTGATGGGTGTTTGAGATCCTAAATGATGCTGCCATAACCCTTGCAAGTGTCTGTCAGAGTGCACACACCCATTTCTGGTGCATGTGTACCTTAGAAGGACTGAGTCCAGGAAATAGCTGTAATATTAATCCAGTTGTCACATAATGGAACCCTTTCAAATAGGGTTTAACTCAACTGAGTAGGTAGATTGATGAATAACTGCAATTTTTAAAAGGGTATAAATTTAACTTTAAGTAGCACTTACTTAATTAAATAATTATATTGTTCAAATGTGTAATGTGGGATAATGTTATTGCACACTGTAAAAATTTGTCACTGTATTTGTTTAATAAAACACTGATTGGTCAGAGGCCAGGCAAAAAGTATAGGTAGGGCAACCAGACTAAGAGAATTCTGGGAAGAGGAAATGCAGAGAGTGGGTCGCCAGCCAGATGCAGAGGAAGCAAGATGAGAATGCCTTACTGAGAAAAGGTACCAAGCCACATGGCTAAACATAGATAAGAAGTATGGGTTAATTTAAGTTTTAAGAGCTTGTTAGTAATAAGCCTGAGCAGTAGGCCAGCCAGTTTATAGTTAATATAAGCCTCAGTGTGTTTATTTGGGACTGAATGGCTGCAGGACCAGGCAGGCTAGAAACTTCCATCTACACATATGACTTTAACCAAACTTTAAATTCCAGTTTTAAAATCAACACCTTAAAATCAAAGTGTATCTAATGCCACCCCCCCTTCCCTGACAGCATCAGTTTCAACCCTCTAAGGATAATCCTCCCAAATTCACAAATAAGACAAACCTATTATATTTCTAGAATTAGTAAATCTCTGCATAAAGTGTGAGCTAGTGAAGAGCAATTCAAACATTCTCTCAGCACTGATGTGAAAAACACGGTTGATATGAAGTCTTCCTTGAAGGTCTTTCTCGGGAATATTCTCTAGAAAAACAAAACACAAACCAGAGGAGAAGAAATTAAGAAAAGATAATTTCAGTATTGAGGGAATGGATGTGTTTTATTTTGGTCTGATACAAAACAGTTTTTAAATGTGATTATCCTACTTCAGAATACTAAAAAATACTATGAATTGGAAATATATATATTAAGCATAAGCAAATGCACTTGACTAAATAAGACCACCATCTTCAATTGTTAAAACCCCACATGCATAGAAATACTTAATTGGAATAATATAAAACTCCTTCAATAAGACAACACTCAAATGAATGTTTCACATGTGATAAAAGAGATAGTATCTACCATAGCCATTTCAAATCATACCACTGAATACTTTCAGTAAATACTAAGTCACTGGTGGTTCTATTTGCTGCTTGCACTAACACACTGGATAAAAAGATCTCACTTGGTTTACTGCTAGCTGTCCCAGATAGAGAGTATATATTCCTAGTGTGTTCTCAATACCCTACATTAAAGTGTGAGTGACAATTCCTCAGGAAAAGCATTCTCCAAAGCCAAATAATGTCCACTGAAACAATACTTGCTCCCCCTGGGAACTTGATAGTTATCTGCTGAAAATTACAGCAGCAAATGAAGTGATGTCTGTTCACCTCTTCTCAAGTTCACATGGTCATCTCCGTGTCAGGCTCTGTGTTAACCCCCTTGCAGCATAGATGCTTCTCAGCCTTAGACAGCCCTCTGGAAGAAGTGGCATTATCATCCTCCTCTACAGAGGAGGAAAGTGTGGCAGAGAGACAATTGACAAGATGCCAAGGTCAGGAGTGACTGCTCTGGAATTTGAATCCACTCCAGCACACAAAATAGTCCCCTTCGTTTTACATTGCCAGAAAGAGTCTAACTGGAAAGACTATATATTTTTTTTAAAAAGTGGGGGAATAGAAAGGAAAGGAAGCAGGAATAGAAGCCTAGTATGTAATGGAAATAATGGAAACAACCTAACACAAATTGTTAATGATTTGAGGACAGTGACTAGTTATTATCTCAAGCCTTATCGTTAACCAATACACACACACACACACACAAAATGACGAGAGCTTCAAACATCAGAAACCAAGCTCCAAGGGTTACCTGTGTGAAGCATCTGTCAATACTAACCTACAGGAACCAGTGTGGTTAAACAAAGGCATTGTCTACAAACCAGAAAAGCATCTAACCCTTCCCCCACCACCATTGCTCCCTCCCTCACTATTGATTTGTGTGTAGAGAATTTTCAAATGCCATGTAGATACTGATTTACCCTCTTCTTGTAAAAAACACTATTTATAGGCAGATGATTCACTGAAATTTCAAAGAGCTCCTTGGGTGTAGAAATCATCACTGGAATTAGGCAATTTGCTAAAGTTCTGTAAGATAGCCTTCCTGCTAGGCTTGGGAAAAGGATTTCACTAACACAGAAGTATTATATGTTCATGATAAAAAATAACACAAATATTCACAATGGAAGCAAACAACTATAGGTGATTCAATGGAATTTCTTCAGAAAATTCTTTCTATACAAGGATCCAACCCACAATTCTACATTGCACTTAGTTATAATATCTCCTTAGTTGTCTCTAATCTCAGGTTCTAATCATGTCTTCTCATAATTTATGCTTCTTAGTTATGCCCTTGAGCCCTGGAAGAGCGCTAGTCAGTTATTTTACATAGTGATTTTCAGTCTGGGATTGCCTGGTGTTTTTCATGAATACACTACAATAGTGGGTTAGGGGGAAAGAACACTGTTAGGGTGTGATGCTCTTAGCTGTTGAGAATGATACAGTAATAAATGTGAGCAGGTGAGGGATGCTGTGATAAGCTCTGGCTTTTATCTGAGAGGGCATAAACCCTAGAAAAGTCTAATTATAGATGCATAAGAGTTCTGTATCTCCTACATCCCCATTAATATCTCTTGGGGTTTTGTTTGCTTATTTTCTCGATGATAGCCATTATAACTGGGGTGAGATGAACCTCAATGTAATTATTTTGGGTCTGTTGGGTTTGGGGCGGGGTAGTGTTTGTCTGGTTTTTAGTTTGTTTGTTGGTTTGTTCGAGGCAGAGTTTCATATAGCACACGCTAGCCTCGAACTTACTATGTGGCCGAGGATGACCTCCAACTTCTGATCCTTCTGCCTCTGACTCCCAGTTCCTAGGATTGTAGGCCTTTGTCACTGAATCCTATTTTATGCAGGCTGGGAACCAAATCCAGTGCATGGGGAATGCACTAGGCAAACACCCTAGCAAATGAGCTCCACTCACTAACCCATCAACATGGTCTTCCCCGGACTCTAAGAAGATGTTCATATGTATTCATTGGCCATTTATACTTTTTTATTTGAAAAGTGGTTTTCAGCTCATTTGTCCATTCATTAATTGACTCACTTGCTCTTTGGCTATTTAATTTTTTTGTTTGTTTTGGTTTTTTTTGTTTTGTTTTTTTACAAGACAGGGTTTCTCTGTATTGTTTTGGAGGCTGTCGGTCCAGCCCGGCCTCAAACTCACAGGGATCTGCCTGCCTCTGCCTCCCGAGTGCTGGGATTAAAGGCGTGCGCCACCACTACCCGGCTGGCTATTTAATTTTTAAATATTTTTCTGGATATTAACCATGTTAGGTATGAAAAAGACTTCTTGATTTTCTTTTGCTGTGCAAATTTTTTGAAGTTGAATGCAATATAGGCCAAGCACATCTGATATTTTCTCTACACCTAGAAGCATTTCTCTTAAGGGGCCCTATTTTATAACTTTTCAAAAGTGAGCTTCTTATTCATATTGAAAACGGAAAGATTACACTTATATACACTCTTCTATACAGTACTTTCATGTTTCTCCTAAGCTCCATTAGGTAATAGATTCTGAATTATGGCTGATAAAAGTGCAATTTACTACATCAGTATCAGAAATTAATAATATATTCTGCATGGAAATATGCTCAAGGAAATAAATAAATTGTTCCTGAATTGGGTTACTCATTTATGATATTCTTGACATTTCAATATTCTCCAAAGAGCAATACCAATAATACTGCTGTAGCATAGTAAGTTGACAGATGGTTCTTTTTAAATGAAGAAAGGACACTGCTCAACTCAGGATCAGGGTACTTTTGTCAATATAGAAAAAAAATTGCTTCAAAAATACCAGCTAAGGTACTGGAGAGGTAACTGCTCATCCAGAGGACCCAAATTTGGATCCCAGCACCCACTTTGGGCAGCTCACAACCACCTGTAACTCTAGCTCCAGGAGATCCAAGGACCTGCTGCTACCTTTGTGGACGCTAGCAATTACATGCACACGCATACACAAATGCACATATTTGAAAACATTTTTTAAAGCATCAGTAGAAATCATTTGGAATTAGTTAGATGACTATAGGGGGAGTACAGTAATATGAAAGTAAACATATACTGCCATTTTAGGGGGGGATGCAGATCAGTGTCCTACACAGGTAAGGACTGAGTTGGGGAGGGCACATGAATTCTCTCCACGAGACAGTAGCAAGATAATCTGCGTTAATTGGTTTTGTCAGGCACTTGTGATTCTAGAGTGAATCTCTATGTCACAATAACCCAGCGTTCTTTCCGCAGAACTGTAGCATAAATGCGGTATGAACGGCAGGCGGGATTTTTCTCATTTTTCTATCGTGGTGGTGTAAGCATAATCCCAACACTTGGGGGTTAGAGCAGGAGAGACCCTGGAAGCCTAAGGCCAGTCTGAGCAATATGACCAGTTTCAGGACAGCCAGGGCTACACAGTAAGACGCTGTGTCAACAATGACAGCAAACCTAACCAATGTTTGGTTAAAAAGAGCTCTACCCAGCCATCTCCCTCTAACCTCCCACATCATGCCCCAATCTCCCAGCTTGGTCTACTTCATTTGATCTTTCCCACTTTATCCCTCGTTTATTTCATACTCATTTGAAAGATCTGATGAGTCTGAGATTTGAATTTAGGGAAAACAGTGGGATCGCCCAAATTATTATCTAGTATAATCTATTAAGAAAATTCACTCTTACATCTTAAGGACACTTTAGGGAAAACACAATGTAACTGCTCACTGTTAAAGCAAGCAGTTTTTAAAGAGGCACCAATAAGGATCATAGAGTGTCCAGGGCCCATGTACAGTAAGTACACACTTTCATCTTTCCCTTATTCCTAGACGTGTGTGCAGCTTTTGAGTTTTAATGTTGCTGCTCCAGGAACTCAATAATGAAATGACCTTTTAAGGACAATTCTTAAGAGTAGGTTTAATGAAAGAGAAAATAGTTCCTTGTTCTGGTGTCACTTGCCTATTTGGCCACTGGGTGCCAGAATAGATCTTCCTAGAGTTCCAAGTTCAGTCAGGCAGCACATGCCTAAATCACGGCCCTTGCATCCTAAAGTAAGGCCGCAATACCTATGATTCCCATCATGCCTACTTACTGACTTTGATGCCAGCGATCTTCGGATTTTCAGGAAAGACTTAATATAAAACCTACTGTGTGATATGACACATGACAGGTTATGAGCACTTAGAGAAAGCAGGGAGTTTGGTTTGTTTCTCATGGACATCTTTGTTATTGTTACATCCTCAAATATCTCCTGCTTCTCTCTTCCTCCTGCCCCACCTCCCGGGCATGCGCTGAGGACAGAGCAGGAAGGTAACTAGTTCTTCACAGCCAGGAGGGTGTCCTCACCAGAAAGCAATGCTGCTGGGCCTGACCTGTGACCTTTGCACTATAGAACTGTAAGGAATTACATTGTTCTCGCCCGAGCTACCTGAATGGAACTATCTGTCATGGCAGCCCATGCTGCCTAGTATCGTGAGTAAGCATGGAAGGGGCATACCAGGCAGGCTCGGCACATGACTGTCCTGTGTCCTGAAGCCTAGGTACCCTCAGCAGCTTCTGCTGCTCCATGGCTGGTCTCACCTCTTCCTCTGGGGACAGTGGTGACCTGACTGATGAGTAAGTCACACACATTTTCAGCCCAGTCAGCAGCCATGTTGCCTCTGGCACACGTAAGCAGAGTTTCCTCTTACTTGGCCACCGTCACTGTTTAAGGGTTCTATTTTGGTCTCTCTGATTTGCTCTTTATTTCTTTCCCCAATTTTATCACAGTAGGGCTATCAGGAAGGATGCTGTTTGTTAAGCCTATGCAACAATATATAGCTTATAATAAAAATACCAGCTAGAGTATAACACATTTGATACCTGGGAGGCCTTTCTTCAGTAAAGATCCTGGTTATCCATCATCATTAGAGTCTAGTGAACATGGGCCATTGCACATATGTAGGGCCAAAGGAGAGCTGGCAGGAGTCCGCTTTCTCCTTCCATTATGTGGATCCCAAGGGCTGAACTAAAGCCTTTTGGCGCAATGGCAAGTACCTTTACCCACGGGGCCACAGCACTGGCTCCGTGAGTTATTTTAAAATATCATGTAGAATAGTATCAGCAGTTTTCTTTGTAACAAATAGTTCAGCTACAGAATGTTCTTTAGAAGTGATTTGAACTGGGCAGTGGTGGAGCACACCTTTAGTCCCAGCTCTGGGGAGGCAGAGGCAGGTGGATCTCTGACTTCAAGACAGACCTGGCCTACAAAGTGAGTTCCAGGACAGCCAGGGCTACTCAGAGAATCCCCATCTCAAAAAACTAAATAAACAAATGCATAAATAAAATGTGATTTGAAAATAAACTTAACTTTAAAAAATTTGCCAGGCAGTGGTGGCACACACCTTTAATCCCAGCACTTGGAAGACAGAGACAGGTAGATCTCTCTGATTTCTTGGCCAGCCTGTCTGCAGAGCTAGGTCAAGAACAGCCAGAGTTACCAGAGAAACCATGTCTCAAAAAAACAAAAACAAAAAAAAGTAAAAATTAAGTGGATATTGAATCTAAGAGAAACAGTTCAGAAGTAAATGCGAGGATGTGATTATGTGTCTGCCTTCAAAGTTATCTTTAAATATTTTTCAAAAATAATCTAAAATTTCAGCCTGGTCTATAGAGCAAGTTCCAGGATAGGCTCCAGAGCTACAGAGAAACCCTGTCTCAAAAAATAACCTAAAATTTAACAATAGTCAAAAACATGTAACTTCACCTATACAGAATAAAATAATAATCTTCTAAATAATCTTTTTAAGAGTTACTTTCTAGACATTCTATTTCCTATTGGAAGCCACACAGTAATTTAAATTAATATTCATCCCAGAATGTGCACCTGCCATGACTACTTGCTTTCATATGTGTGTATGTGCACATGTGTGTGCATGTGAGCGTGTGCACATGTGTGTGAGTGTGTGTGTGTGTGTGTGTGTGTGTGTGTGTGTGTAAAAATCAGGCTTGCAGGCCTTTGTTAAGATGCTTGTTTGTTTGAGGCAGGGTGTCACTATGAGCCTTGGCTAGCCTGGGATTAATTATGTAGACCAGCGTAGCCTCAAACACACAGAGACCTCCTGTCTCTACTTCCTAAATGCTGGGGTTCAGTTGTGCACCACCACAGCCAACAAACATCCTTTTTTACAAAGAAAGAGAGCCGGGAGGTGGTGGCGCACGCCTTAATCCCAGCACTAGGGGGCAGAGGCAGGCGGATCGCTGTGAGTTCGAGGCCGGGCTGGACGGACAGCTTCCAAAACAATACAGAGAAACTCTGTCTCGTAGACCCCCCCCCAAAAAAAGAAGGAAGAGAAAGAAGACATTGGGAAGTGCTCACCCCTTTAGTTCAAGCAGTGGCAGAGGCAGGAGGATCTGAGATCGGCAGCACTAAAAAGTCAGTTACAGGCCAGCCACTCAAGATGACACAATGAGAACCTATCTCCAACAATAATAATAGTAATAACTTGGGAAGTAATAATAATAGCAATAATTTGGTAACTACTTTAGAAATGAAAAGAACACAGGTCTCAAAGGTTTTGTCCTCAATTCAGCCTTCATGCAGTTAATTAGCTACATGTGTTTAAACCAAAACCCCTTGACTTCTTTCTCTCTAGGTAAAGCACAGGTAGACTCAATACACTAACAATGGCAACATCTTACCCACTTAGTCTGCAGGAGCAGCATACAGGCTTTCTAGTAACAGATTTGCTTTCACTATGCCCACTGAATGAAAGCTCTCTCCTCTCTCTCTCTCTCTCTCTCTCTCTCTCTCTCTCTCTCTCTCTCTCTCTCTCTCTCTCTCTCTCTCTCTCTCTCTCTCTGTGTGTGTGTGTGTGTGTGTGTGTGTGTGTGTGTGTGTGTGTGTGTGTATGTGTGTATATGTGTATGGTCTAGAAGACAACTCTTGGTGTGGTTCCTCAGGAGTCATCCACATTTATATGTTGACATGGTCTCATCTCTCAATGGGACCTGGCCCTTGCTGATTAGGCTAGGCTGCCTGGCCAGTGAGACCAAGGATCTGCCTGTCTCTACCTCTTTCTTGCTGGGAGTACAGACCTGCACCACCATGGCCACCAAAGCTGGGTCCTGGGTACTGGGGGTTGAACTCAAGATCGCTTGCACTGAGATATCTCACTGTGCCCTGACTTGCTGTTCCTGAAAGCTTGGAATTCTAAGCCAACCTAATGGAGACTTTCAAATTCCAGGCTTTGAGAGACAGGCAGATGGGCTAGACTGACAAGTTGTTTTCCTGTGTTCTGTACACATTCATTCCTTTTCTGGCTCCTTATAGTATGAGGCTGCCACAATCGAACTCTCACTCTGCACACACCTACCACAAGGGTAAACATTAGAAGACATGCCTGGAATTCTGTTAAGATTTACATTCTTTACCTTCGTCAACAGAATCTGAAGTGCTGCTTTTGTCCAGAGAAAGGTACTCATTTTTATTCAAGTCCAGTGATTTGGAGGGCGCTCTACTTAACCTCTTCTCTGAAACTAGTGAAGGGCTTTTTTTCAAATGTTTCTCACTCTGGAGCTCTTCTTTTCCTAATCCCTAAAATACAAACAATTCAGTTAAAAAGTAAAAAACTGACTTAAGCTTAGGTCTCATGGTAAGAACTGTAATTGTAAATATTAAGAGTAAAGGCGTGAAATGCTGCTTTTTGAAAAACATTTACGGCATTCTGTTAAGATTGACTGCTACTCTTGACATGGTAGATAATAAAGGTCTCCCTGAAGTGTTCTCATGCAGTACGAATGATGTGTTTATGAAGAGTACCATGTAAAAAGGATTCAAAGGAAAAAAAAAGGATTCAAAGAAAGTTAGCAGCATGTGAGCAGCTAAAGCAGAAGGGAAGGGAAGGGATGGAGGCAAAAATAAGGAACAATTGGACCTTTGGGGTGGGCAAGGGAGAGAGGCCAAACCCAGCTTGTTTTTTATCTGGTGTACACTTCTCACCCATCTCTCAAAACCAATAACTAAAATAGAAATGGAAAGAAAATAAAGTGATAGAAATCACCTAGGAGTGTGGTGAGGAGAGGAGTGAATTCATAGCCAACTGGTTCTAGAGATAAGTTATTAAAATATACTAAAATGTGACATGTATACTTTCTGGGCATGTTTAATAAGGACATGTCATTTTGATAGTAAATTAAATGATAGACATTAAATATAAATGCTATTTTTATGTTATAACTCAAATAGAACTAACTATAATTAGTAAGATAAAGAATCTGTGTTAACTATACAGAAAAATTCTGTTTTGCACTGTGTGTACACAGATGAAAGACAGAACAAAACATACATCCAGCCTTTCTCCTTTCTGTCCTAGAAGATGCTTGCCTAGCCCTGAACAGACACTCAGCTCTAGGGTGGACACAGGTTTTCATTGGCCAATGGGGAAGCTGGGTGGTAACTGGAACCCAGGACACATGTTGCTAATGAGTTACACTACCCTACCCAGAGAACTGACTCTTCAAGCAGAGAAGACTACAGCTAAAATCAAGAGGTGACACATTTGGGAATTCCACGGGAGAAAGCATTATGGTTACTTAGCAGACCTAGAACCTCTCAAACAGCTGAGCAGAGCTCCACACATATATTTCTCTTCCTGTTAACTAAATTGTATTTCCTATTATAGGAATATAGATACTTACATGAAAGGTAACAAATGTTGGTGTCTGTGTTGTTTTTATCTCCAGATACTTTCCTGTATTTTACAGGATTAGTAATGTTATAACAAGCATGTTTCCATCTGGAAAATAGTTGTTTCTGATTTTTTTTTTGTTATTTTCAATTTGATGGAAGTAAAACATCAAACAAAGTGAAAGACAGACAACATTTACTGTCCTCTGAGACCTGAGAGTCTCACCATAATGCTCCTTGGGAAAAGACCTAGTTTCCAAAGCTGAAAATCTCTGTCCTAAACATCAGCAAGTAAGTGATCAGTTTATTGCACTCGTTTACATCCCATTCATGATGAAGAGAACAGGCAACTTATTTTAGGAACAGAACTAGAGGTAAGATCCAACAGACTAAGTATTCCAAGAGGAGCCACAGAAGATGGGGCAAGTGAAAAGGACTAAGAGAGACTAGAGTCCTGAGAACCCACTCCTCAGAGATGGACTTTGATAAAGGGATAATAAGACTGCAAGAAAACCTCCAACTTGCTACCTCCCCTAGCTGAGTGTTTCACATGCCAAGAATGACATTCTTTGTGCAGTACTAGATCCCTAAGTGTCTATTTTATAAAACTTATACTGAACAAGTTTTATAAAAGTAGGCTGACATAGATGCATGATGAAGGATGATTGTCTAAAACAAGTGTAAAATTCAGGGGTTTTTCACATGAATAAATTATATGTCAGTGTTTTCCCAAAGGGGTCTTAAAAAAGAACCATTACTAGCTACATGCAGGTTCACTTTCAATTACAACAGCCTATGGTTTTAGGACACTCAATGAATGCTAGGAATTGTTCTCAGTACCTTCATAGCTACCAACTCTTCCTTTCTTTCTTCCTTCCTTCCTTTCTTTTTTTTTTTTCAAGATAGGCTTTCTTTGTGTAGCCTTGGCTGTTATAGAACTAGTGCTGTAGACCACTTAAACTTACAATACTGGAAAAAAATGAAGCTTACATGCTAACTGAAAAGTCGGTTGCTAGCTGGAATGTCATCTTCAATGTGTTATCTAAGAAGTTTCTACTAAAAAGAAGAGAATGAGGCCTCTGTGACCCAGCTGTGCTCAAAGGCCTGTCTCTCCCCATTCTAAACAGACTTTCTCCACCACATGCATTCCTTCGCTTGGGGAAATTCTGCCGACTACAGATTTCTGGGTCCTGTTATATTTTAAGAAGTACTAGTGTCTTAACATGTTTCTCAGGGGCCCACACCTTAACCATCTTTAAAGAATAACACATACTTCCTCCACATAACCTCTGCTACTTAGAGATATATACTCTGTTTCTAAAACAAAGCAGCAGCCGGATAGCCTAAGCTTTTCAACATTTCAAATACATTGCTTTTTTTTTTTTAACTTGATCTCATATAGGTGTAGGTTTTAGGAAACAGCATATACTAACTCTCTTTGGTGAGTTTCCATCCAGGGATTCAGTTTCTGAAACTCGGCTAATTGACTCCTGTGTAAAGCTGACGGCCTTGGAGAACTTTTCATCTCTTTCCCCAGAGTCATCCACACTGCTTCTTCCTGGACTTCTGTAGAAAACACAACGATAGGGAAGAAGTCACCTCCAGGCACACAGTCCTTGGCGCTCCTCTCTGAGGTCTTTGCTAGTCTAACAAATCATCTCAACAAACAATAGATTGTTATGCCGTAAGCAGCTCCAGTTTTTTTGTTTGTTTGTTTGTTTGTTTTTACGAGACAGGGTTTCTCTGTATTGTTTTCGAGGCTGTCAGTCCAGCCCAGCCTCGAACTCACAGCGATCCGCCTGCCTCTGCCTCCCGAGTGCTGGGATTAAAGGCGTGCGCCACCACCACCCGGCAGCAGTTCCAGTTATAACGAGCTATCCTCTGACAGACACCAGCTGACTTCATTCTTGAAAATAAACCATATACCCCTATGCAAATCCCACATTTCAGAAACTACTACAAGTATAATGAAGTACAAGTGGCCCCAGAAGTATCCAATCAGATGCTTGTTTAAGTATAAAATCACAAAGCTTCGAAGATGCAGGAAGCTGTTTGGTTCAGATGACACTTGGCACCTGAAATCAGTCTTACAAGTCTTGCTTCTGATGTAGTCTCAGCAGAGGTAGCCAGGCCCTCTAGGAGGCACAAGCTCCTCCTGTCTGAATACAATGGCCATCAGTCAGGCTAAGGCTGGACCCAAAGACAGGAAAAATGAGGGAAAGCAGGAAGGGAAATAGATCCCTCACTCTGAGATCTAGTTTGCATTTCCTTCTAGCTACGTGTCTAGAAACTTCAACACAAATGGACAAAATCAAAACTGCTGGCAAAGAGCCAGGTGTAGTGGCACACACCTTCAATTCCAGCACTCAGGAGGTAGATGGAGGCAGATCTCTATGAGTTCAGAGCCAGTGTGGGCTACAGAGATGGCTGAATTTCAGGACAGCCAGAGCTACACAAATCCTGTCTCAAACAAATAAACAAACAAACAAAAGACTGCTTTAAAAGAAAATACCAGTGTTCCTAAAGACATCTCAAACAAGGCAGTTCAGACAAACAACCATCTATGTTTAGTGAGGATGAGAATGTTTATGTCCTGAGGCTTAATTGTGCCAACATTTCTCTCATCCCTAAGTCTAAGCAACACACCACATAAAGTCACATTATAGTTCTTTTAACAAACGAAAATTCTTTAAGTGAAATAAGTAAACCATATAGTCTCAATCTCTAAAGTTTAACTTTACACTTTGTTCATCTTTAAGCTTTGTAATGAATTATATATACCTTTAAACAATATAACTTTTTAAATGACAGTATAAATACACATATCCACTACAAAGAAGACTAAGCATGGCTCTCTTGAGAAGCCCCACACCCATGTCTTAGATGTGTTCTTTTTTCCTAAAAGGTAGGCCTCTCTTTTTGCCTGCCACCCCCATGCTTATATCTAAGCATGTGCTTGTTCCGATCACCTTATCTACTTAGCAAACTTGTTTTACTCTGGTTTGTCCTAAAATTCTTCTCTGTGATGAGGATTCAGCTTGACCTGAGTTGAGGTCCCTAATGGTACTGTGGGTTCCTCAGTACTGACTGCTTAGAGGCATTTTCTTAATTGAAGTTTCCCTCCTATGGTGGTTTGAAAGAAAATGTCCCCCAAAAGGAGTGGCACTGTTAGGAGTAGTGGCCTTGTTGGAGGAAGAGTGAGTTACAGATGTAGGACCCTCATCTGCACCAGCACCATATGCAGACACCACCATCATGACGTCCCCTTCATGATGATAATGGATTAAACCTCTAAACTGTAAGCCAAACCTGTGGCAGGGCATGCCTTTAGTCCCAGACAGATCTCTGAGTTTGAGGCCAGCCTGGTCTATAAAGTAAGTTCCAGGACAGCCAGAGTTACACAGAGAAACCCTGTCTTGAAAAAAAAACAACAAAAAGGAGTTGCTGTGGTCATGGTGTCTCTTCAGCTTAACTAAGACACCCCCTCTCAGACAACTTTAGCTTGTGTCAAGCTGACAGAAAATTCATCAGCACAAGCCCTATTTAACTCTGCCCAACAATGGTTAGTAGACCTGCAGCCAGCTGACTCCTGGATAGGCAGGATGGTGGTGCTCAGTGGGGACCGAGAGAGAAAGAAAGTATGGATCCTTGAAATAGCTCACCATGTGAGTATGGCAATCTCAGGAGTTTAAGAAGGATGGAGATAAGAACAGAGAGAGGAAAGCAAGAATGAGACTAGAGAAAAAGAATGCGGAGAGCTGAGGAAATATAGGATCAAAACAAGTGTGCTGTTTTCAAAGAGTGAACAAGAGAGAACAGAGCATGAAGAACCTGCTACAGGTTCTCTTAGAAAACAGTCACCAGGAGACTAGACTGCAGCTTTACACTTGGTCAAAATGATTATCCTTTCCTGATTCAGAAACTAGAAAGATCACAAGTTGGCAAGACTGTAAAGCCACCGAATCTAACTGCCTTGTGTTCATAGATGATTAAACCGAGCATCAGAAGTGTACAAAGATTTGCATGAGATATCTCAGCTACAAACCACAGCCCAGATCCAACTGATTACCATCCAAGGTTCTCTGCACTAGGAAGCTGATTTTCATACAGTTTGATACCTGAGACAGTAAACTTTATGATGTCATTGCAATGGAAAAAATTGAACTTCATGGAAAAGTGATAAAATATGCATTGCAATCATGTGAAAAAAGACTATAAAATATTGATATGAGCTGAGACAATACAGGCTGGAGCAGCAGAATAGAAGACTGTTCAGAGAAGGAAACATCCGTGTATGTATTAAGACTGTCAACATATTTAAGTAAGATTTGGAGGGCTGGAGAGACGGCTCAGCCCACAAAGGCTAGACTCCAAACCAGTCAAGATCTGATCTTTGGTCTTGGCTTCTCTAACCTATAGAATTTTTTTCTTTTTATTATTTATTTTTAAATTTAAATTTAAATTAGAAACAAGGTTGTTTCACATGTCAATTCCAGGTCCCTCTCCTTTTCTCTCCCCTCCTCCCGTGTCCTCCCCCTAACCCTCCCAATATCCCCTCATTTCCCCAAGGAGGGTGAGGCCCTCCTTGGGGGTGTCCATAATCTGTCATTTCTGAGAGTGCATCTCACATTGTTGGATGGGAGTCCAAAGTCCATTTGTATACTCGGGATAAATACTGATCTACTGCCCAAGACTCAATAGATTACCTAAGCCTCCTCACTGACACCCACATTCAGAAGGTCTTGATCAGTCCCATGCTGGATTCCCAGGCATCAGCCTGGGATTCAAAAGTTAACCCTTGTCAGGTCAGCTGTTTCTGGGGGTTAAACAAGCCCAGTCTTAATCCCTTTGGTCATCAGTCCTCCCTCTCTGTCACTGGATTTCTTGAGTTCAGCTCAGTACTTAACCGAGGGAGTCTGCCTCTTCTTCCATCAGCCACTGAATGAAGGTTCTGTTTCCCAGACTCTCTGGCCATGGGATTGTAGGCTGGCACTTCCCAGATCTTTGTCTAAATTCCATATATGAGAGAGTACATGCCACGTTTCTCTTTTTGTGACTGTGCTACCTCACTCAGGATGGTTTCTTCTAGTGTCATCCGTTTGCCTGCAAATCTCAGGATTCCATTGTTTTGTTTTGTTTTATTCTGAGTAATACTCCATTGTGTAAATGCACCACATTTTCTCTATCCACTCTTCGGTTGAGGGGCATCTAGGTTGCTTCCAAGTTCTGGCTATTACAAATAATGCTGCTATGAACATAGTGGAACAGACATCCTTGTTGTATGAATGGGTCTTTTGGATATATATTAATGTACTGTTCTTGTTTTTATTACTATGGTCTCAATTAACATTGAATAGGCAGTTTATAAAATGTTCACACTTCTTAATGAATATGTGTCAACATGATCTTTCTCTACTAATTTCTTTCTCACAGAGTATCACCACATGATCCCTGTATTGTCATTGCTTGATCTTCCTCTACTAATTTCTTTCTCACAGAGTAGCACCACACCACCCCTGTATTGTCATTGCTTGCATCTGCACGGTACTGTCATCTCCTTTCACTAATGTGGTCAATGCTTACTGAGTGCCAAGCACATGTCACTAGCTGGCCAGTCCTCGAGAAATCACAAAACCACTCATCCTTTGCACTTACAGTGATTCCTATAGCACGGAGACCTCACCAGTTCCTACTCCAGATCCTTAATAAAAGGATTTCTAAAATTAAACAAGTCTTAAGAGTCATAGCTTCATTAACCTGCTTTCCTATTCTGCTTTTGCTTACCAATTTAGTAAATGATCCTTTTCTCTCCCAACTTAAACCCTACTCTACCAACAAGGCAAACTATACCAAAATGATAAATTAATAGAAACTCAGAATTAGAAGAACCTAAAATAATTCCTTTTTAATGGTTCATAATGCACCTTGACATTTTAAATCACCTCACTGTACCTTGGCTGCACATTTTCTTCTATTGATAATGACAAGTTTTCCATTTCTTCAGCATTTAAACCCAGCTCCGTGCCATAATTCTGCTGGAGTAGTTGCCAGAACTCCTGCCTGGTCAGGCTCTAAGATAACAGAAACATTGCATGGGTGTTGGAAAATACAAGAGATAACATATAGCAATTCAAAGCACAAAGGTCAAAGTCAAAGTATGCATGGCATGAGCATTCAAGGTGTGACTGTGGTAAATTTTTTTACCTATTTGTCCCTCTCTTTTCTGTTTTCTATAAAAATGTCCTGATGAGTGCTGGGCATACAGCTTAATAGTGGAGAGCTGTGTAGCATCCACATTGCTCTGAGCTTAATTCTCAGAGCTGCAAAAGAAAAGTTAATTATGCCCATCTAATAAGACTTAAAACAGGCCAGGTGGTGATGATGCATGCCTTTAATCCCAGCACCGAGGAAGCAGAGACAGGCAGATAGATATCTGTGAATTCGAAGCTAGCCTGGTCTACAGAGCTAGTTCCAGGACAGCTGGGGCTGTTACACACAGAAACTCCATCTCAAAAAACAAAACGAATGAAGTTGATACAGGAAATATGGAGAGATGGTTCCATGGATAAGAGCACTGGTTGCTCTTCTGGAGGACCTGGGCTTGACTCCCAGAACCTACATGGTGGTAAACAACCATGTATAACTCCAGTTCCAGGGCATCTTCTGGCCATCTCAGGCAAACAAGTGGTGCACAGGCCTATATGCAGACAAAAACTTAGTAAATAAAGAGTTGATGCAAGAAATGGATAAACAGATATAATGTTTTCCCTGAGATGGGGTGCTGTCCAGACTGATCCTGGGCTCAAGCTATTCTCCAAACCAGTTGGGACTAAAAGGCACATGCAATTAGAAAATGGCAGGTTTTCAAAGTATGCAATAAAGTAGCTATTATAAACACAAAGTAAAATGCTTATTCTTTTTATAAAAGTAATTTATTTATCATTCGTGGCAATTACTGATCTAAAATCCACACAACTTATGATCACCATTCAGAGTTCTAAATGTCAGCTCAGAATCGAAACTTTTAACTCAATATTGTATCTGAATATTCTAAGCATTTTTAAAAGTTTGTACACCAGTGAATTCTATATTTTCCTAAAATAGAGAATATAAGAAAACCACCTTCAGAGTACTAATTTACTTTTAATAAGGTCCAGCTTGCATATAGATAGCATATCAGAGTTAAAATCACCAGATACAGCAGAGAAATGGCTATGTGGTTTCAAGGACAGCTCCATCAGAGGACCAAAGTTCAGATCCTAGCTCCAAATCAGGTGGCTCACAAACACCTGGAATTCTAGCTCCAAAGGATCTGACACTTCCTTCTGGACTGCACGGGCATCACACACACACACACACACAAACACACACACACACACTCAAAATTTTTTTAAAAAATCTTAATCATACCAAGCTGTGGTGGCGCACACCTTTAGTCACAGCACTCAGGAGGCAGAAACAGGTGGACCTCTGTGAGTTCGAGGCCACCCTTGTCTACAGAATGAGTTCCAGGACAGCTGGGTCTACACAGAGAAACCCTGTCTCAAGAAAAAACTAAAACAAAAACAACTTAATCACCAAATATAGTAAGCTGTAAACTGTATAGCAAAACAAAAACATCACATTCTAGCAACTAACAGACGGGATTCTAGAAGCATTACAGTTAATTATATGATTAAGCAAGACAAGAGAGAGACAGCATGGCACTTGAAGCAACTGTCAACAAGATCTTTCATCTATTCCACAGCTATTTATGGGCAACAAAATGTGTGGCACCGCACTAGGATGCTAAGGGTATAAAACGATCTCTGCATCAAGTAATTTTAATATATTTGAAGTGATATAGGGCACTATTAAAGAGAACACATATGATCATGTGCTAATGGGCTAGTAGAATCAATGGGATAGGGAAGAGAGAAAGAAGAAAATATTACTAAGGACCAGGGTGGCCAGATGAAGCTCCACAGTGGAGAAGGGCTTCTGGGTAAGAGGAAGGAAAGATGGATGGGGAAAGGAAGAAGGAGAAGGAGAAAAAGAAGAGATGGGGAGAAGCAACCAACACATAAACAGTGAGGGAATACATGACTGTAAGTATTGTTTGTTACAAAGCTAGTGTTTCATGTTAGCCCAACTGGAGAACTGTTTTAAAGGCAGGAAGTAGACTATAAAAATGTTTAATGGGGCCCAATGTAAGACTGCCCTGAAGCCAGGCCTGCTAGTCCCTACAGCAAACACCACTTCCTTTCCCCTCGCCCCTCTGCCACAGCTGTGCACCCGATTTACCAGATGGGCTTCATTAGATTTCCTGGAATCAGGAGCTGAAAAGGGAAAGTCTGCTTTCCACCTCTGTTTGCTGAGCCCAGATGACCAGAGGACCACAAGAACGCTTTATGACAATTCAGACGTCATTATCCACATTTCAAAATGTCAAAAATTATCCTTCCAAATAACTACAATAAAGGAGTCGAGTTAATTAAAAAAAACCACAAGACTCTTTGCTCAGAGCTGATTGTGTATTAACACAGAATGGAAATCTCAGGTTGGCCAACCCTAACTGAAAAATATCACATCTAGAAAACAGAACATTTGTAATGTTCACTGTTTCCTAGTGTTGTCTTCTTAGTGGATAAAGTCTTCTGAAGCAGAATATTCAGGGAAGAAAAATACAAAGGCCTATTGCTGACAGTTAAGGAACTACTGTCCTTGGTCCTAAAGGAGCTTGACTTCTACCCCAGAGATTCTGGGTGGACTCTGTTTTCATAGCAATAATTCATACTGTGAATTAACTAAGTCTTCCAAAAGACATGTCATAAAAGGGTGGTTAGCATTACCAAAGAAGACAATTTTTCTGCACACCTGTGTTCGATTATTAGCCTGTCACAAAAAACTTTTTTTGAAATAGTAGACATTTCTAAAGATAAAAATTAAAGCAAACAACAAATCAATGGTGAACACTTGGCTTCCTAATGGTGAAAGAAAGGCAACTTGCAAGTAAAAGATTAAAAACAAAATGCTGTTAAGTTAATTAGAAAGGTAATTTCAACATATATTTTGATCCATTCGTTAAATGTAAATATATACTTTCTTAATGGAGAACAAAACAAGACTCATTTAATTCATGGTGTTGCAAATTTGCTGTTTTTTTTTTAATGATTATTTTTGTAAGGTTGCCCAGCTGTCACAAAGGCATGGCTATTGACAATCACACTGTTCAAATATACTCGGATAGTAACAACTTTTTCAGTATTTAGCAGCCAAACCTTAGGGGGAAAAATGACCCAAATATTACAGGAAAGCTGACCACCTACCGGCAAAGATGCAGATCCGGGCTCACCTGCAGATACTTGAGCAAAATAAAGATGAACCAAGCAGTAATCCGATAGGACTCAAAAGTCAGCGGATCAATTTCTAGCCCAGAAAGCTTTGTGTTCTAAGTGGTCTCTGAAATCTTTATCCACAGTAGAGCTTCAAAATTTCGATAACAGCTAAACAAAATCGCTCCTTCGATTTTCTATTCTGCTGTAAGGCACTTTGCCATGTAAAAGCCAAGTTCGAGTACAGTTGGAAGCCTCAGCTGTGGCTTCCGGGTTCAGAGCACCAGCCCTCTTTGCTAGGGGCTGGTCGGAATGCACAGCTGAAGTCACACCTCACTCGACAGGTTCCTAAGCCACGCCCACTAGAGGAGGATAGGTAAACAGTATTTTATTAAAGGGACAGTTCCTAATTTCTTCTGTTCCTCATACAGATCGAAGACAGGCTACAAATGAAAAGATCCCACGTGTGCTGTAATGGGAAATACCTACTGCAATATTATTTTAATCCCACTTGGAAACAAACTGTGTTAAAACTTAAACTTCCCCATGACAACACTTTTCAATTCAACTCAAGCAAGTCACTAATATCTGTTCATTTATCACTTACTGACCAGTATTCTGACCAAACTCTGCCTTTTCAACTAGAGCAGATCCTATGCTCCAGAGTTGGAATGTCAGGGAGGAACAGGAAGGGCCAGCTATTCAGGTAAGGCATTCAGCATGTCTTTCGTCACTGAGAAGTTGAAGGTGACATCTTGCTTACTCAATAATTCTTTCCCTTGAAAATATTTCTGGCTGTAGTTCACTCAGAATAACTTCCTGGCAGAGTCCTAGACTACAATAAATAGTACAGAGAGTCTCATCTACCAATTCTAATTTCTCCCAAGAAGAAATGTTTTAAATGAAAAAAATCACAACTTGCCTTAATTTCAACCAATTCATGCTATTAATTTAGTCCCGTGTACAGACAGGTCCCTTGATGAACTACAAAGACGAGCTTTTGATAACACTTAAGTCTTATGACGTTATCAGAATGACACTGAAGAATTCTACCCACTCCTGTCAGTCTGGTGTGGTAGTACACACCTTTAATACCAGTGTTCGGGAAGCAGAGGCAGGTGGATCTCCCAGTCTACATAGGACATGGTGAGTTCCAGGACAGTCAGAGCTACATAGTAGAAAGACCTTATCTAAAAATAAAATAAAATAACAATTCCTCTCCCTCATGTGAAGGAGGCACACGGGAAACCAACTGCCCCTGTGAAACCTGGCTGTATTGTACTAGGTTCTCACTGGTTGAAACTGTAGGTATGTACACTTCCTCTGCTGACCAAATAACTGTGAGAAAGTTTATCTGTAACTGGTATCTGTGTACCTCTTTCACTAACTACTAAACTCCTTAGAGAAAAACAAACTTACTGGTTTTAGGTGAACACACCTAAATTTAATCTGCTTAAAGGAGGAAATAGAACCCTCCCTTCCAAAAGTTGGACCCTTAAGGAAGCCCAGGATGCAACAGGTAAATAGGAGTGGACATCAAAAGTGTTCAGGGAAATAATAGTGTTAAGGGAAAAATCCAGAAAGACTGATATCCTGGAGGTCAGGTGTTTCCTGACGGAGGAAGTAGACAAAGGTGACAAACACTGCTGAAAGTCAAGTAAGATGAGCATGTGACAAGAAATGTGTGGCAAATGCCAGCATCCAGAGAGTGGGGCCACCTGGCACTCGGGTCACTGTAACAAAAGTGTGTGTGCTCT